ACTTTTGATTATTAATTTTTTTTTCCACTGATTTTTCAATTAATTGTTTACATACATGTTTCTACCTCATTTTTTATGCTTTTTTGAAATTTTAAATTTATTTCCTAGGCTTCAATGTGTGTAGAGTTTAATGGTGTAATCCAAATTTTTCAAAACTCAACGGTTCATTTTTAATACTGAAATTTGACATTTTTTTCACTTAAATCTCTACAGGTTAATTTTCATTATTTTTTGACGTTTTAAAATTTTCTCCTGCACTTTGAGACATGTAAAAAATTATGGTAATAACCATTTTTCATAAAAACCAAAGACTGTTATTGAATACTGTGTTGGACATGTTTTTTTTAATGTTTTTTGATTGGTTTTTACCGGCTGGATTTTAATCATTTTTCAAAATTTTGAATTCATTTCCTACATTTAAAGATGTGTAGAATTGAATGGTGAATTCTAATTTCCATAAAAATACCAGCTTCAATTATAATACGTGAGTGTACCCCGTTTCTTGCATAATTTTTACTGTATACAAATTGCATTTGAATGCAAAATGGATACAGCCATCAATTTTGAAACCTTTCAAAGTGTAGGAAATGAGCTTAAAATTTCAAAAAATAAGGGTAATTAAGTGTGTAAGAATTAATTCAAAAAATACGTCAAAGGCATTATTCAAGATACAGTTTTTATTTTGATGCAAATTGATTGTTTCCATCATGTTTACCATGTCTGAAAGTGTAGGAAACAAATTTAAAATGTCAAAAAATAATGAAAACAACTTTAAAGTTACACAAAATCTTGAAAAATGTGGGAAAAAACTTAAAGCAAACAATTAAAGGAAAAAATGAGTGGAAAAAAAATTAAGAATCAAAAGTCATTTTTATGCAAAATGAACTTTACCATTAAATTCTAAACGCTTTTCAGTGTAGGAAACAATTCTACAAAATCAAAAAAAATTAAAATTAACGGCAAAAAAAATTAATTAAAAAAGCATGTTTAAACACGGATTGCGCGTGTGCTGTGCCGCAGCAAAAGCGCGTCAAAACGCGGAAAATGCGGGTTTTTTTATTAAGGCCCAAAATTAAATACAAAACCGTGTTTAAACGCGGAAACCGTGTGTGCTGTGCTGCAGCAAAACCGCGTGTCAACATGGAAAAACCGTGTTTTTTATTAAGGCCCAAAACTTAATGCAAACAATTATAATTGTACAATTGAGAAATGAGTGAAAAAAATAATTAATAATCAAAATTCATTTTATGGAAAATGGTTTTTACCACTAAATTCTACACCTTTTAAAGTGTAGGAAACAACTTTAAAAAATCAAAAAAACTGAAAATTAATAGGAAAAAAAAATTAATTAAAAAACCGCGTCTCAATGCGGAAACTGTGTCTGCTGCGCGCAGCAGAAACCACGTCAAAACGCGGAAAACCCGGGTTTTTTTATTAAGGCCCTTTTTTAATTTTTTTTTTGTAACTCATTTTTCTCAAGTTTTTGGACAGGCAGGACCCATATTGGTGGGTCCTGGTTGTAGGAGGAATGGAGGTCAGCCAATGTGGAATCAACGTGGGCAACAAGCACACATGATCCCAACTGACTCGGATGTAGTCTTGTGGACACCTTGTTGAAAAAAAGCTTGGTTTGTGCAACCAAAGACAAAAATTGAGCTTACCAGAGCTTACCAAACTTTTACAGAGCCGATATTGTGGATTTTGCGGATTGGCTGTGTTTTGTTGGATCCACAATCCCATGCGGCAAGAAGTACCCCTGGGGTGTATGTACACGGCACGTGGGCTTGGACTCTGGAGGCAGTACAAGCCACACAGCTCTAACTTCTAAACTATAAACAATACTCCAATTTTGTGACTGAAATTGGAGTATATGCATTTTGTAATGTATAATGCATAAGTGTCACAGTGCCCGTGATCTAAGGGTACCTGTTAATTATTGATTGGTAATTTACAAGGAGAAGGAGTGAGAAATAGGGGTGCCTTTGGTTGAGGTACCCTAGGTTAAGTTGTATTCAGATTTTGAATCTGCAATAATAATTGATGTTTTCTTTATAATTTCTAAGTCATTTATTTATTGCATGTATTTTTTATCTTATTTACATAAGTAATAGTGTTTCTTTTACTTATGTAATATTTTTACTTTATACTTGAATTTTTTATGCAATTTATTTGTTTAGGTTGTCCCCGCCATAGTAGCAAGCTGACAGTAGTAGTGCTCATCCATGTTTGTCACAGTGTCATCTTTCATTTCCAATAATCTCTCTTATCACATGTTCACTTGTCTACATCTGCCTAACTCTGTGCATCATAGGTCTATATAATGTCAGAATCATAACTGTGATTCAAGACAAGACCAGTATGCAAAACACAAACCTAAAGAAACAATACAGGTTAAGATATGGGCTTGACTAACCAAGAGAAAGAAATACAAACCTGAATGGTTGAAAGGCGAGTGGATATGACAATGAGTTTAATAAAGATAACAAGTTGATTGATTGAGAGAAGAGAAGTAGACCAATACAAACTAAGAGGACTTCATATTACAATCAACTAGGTTTAGAAACTGTGCCACAACAGGTGTGAGAATCAGTCTAGAAAAGCCAACAGAACAATAGTTCAACACAGTCCCATTGTAAGACTCAAAAGTGGTTGTGAAACCCTTTTGCTGAATTGAGAAGGGGAAAAATGGAGGTGCAAACTCTGCCCTTCTATACTATCAGAAACAAGACCCCCAAGCTTAGCTTGGAAAGTTTTAATAACATGATAGGATTGGTTGGTTCCGGTAAAACTTTGTTTGATGAAATGTGAAGGTTGAATATATAATTTCTTATAAAAGAAACTGTTATGTTGTGCAACAGGTGAAAGGTTTATATAATTGTTTGTAACTGGTGAGTTATATATTGATTGACTGCTGAGTGATGAAATGAGTGAATGAACTGAGTAGATGAGTGAGGAGACAACAAATGGGGGAAGATAACCTCCTTTTATAGACAAAAGTGAGGGAATTTAGCTTCAGGGAAGACAAGAAAGAGTGATTTTAGCTGGCCTGTAGGTACAAATGAGTGAATTTAGCTAGTCTGGTCATGCAAGTGAGGGAAATTAACCAGTGAGGCTGTGTACAATTAATGTCAAAGGCTGTGCTGCAGTGCGTAAATAATCTGAGAAAGTGTCAAATGAGGCAATAAATTGTGGGAAAAATCCAGCTGTTGTCATAAATGAGGTGAGAAAATTAATAAACTGTGGGAAAAGTAATTCAATCAAGACTGCGCAGCCTGCAAAGGCAGTGCATGAGGTGACAAATAATACCAAACTAATTTATGTGGTGGAAATAAAGAGGTGTGAGAAATTATGTGTATACTGTGAGCTGTGTATAAGCATAACTGAGAGGTGATTTGAGGGTTGTGACATGTGCTTGACTGGGTATTGGCTTGTGATATGCGTCCGTAGGGGTGTAACTTCCAATCCGTGAGTGTTCCAATGATGCGTCCAGTGTTGACCTAGGCTGAAATTGTCCGTAGAGTCCATTTCTGAAGCCATATTGGTTGATTTCTGAGTGAATATATGAGAAAAATGTATATAAAGGAAAAACTTTGAAATTTTTACATATTAAATTACCACACCGTACTTACTGATTTGGCAATCACCCTCAGCAATACTGACAACAGTCAAACTTTCTGGTTATAGGTTCTTATCCATGTCTTCAGTTTAAGACAATTCTTATCTCTTTTCAGGTCAAATTATGGCTCCCAATTTTGAATGCCCCCCTGTTCTGTACTATGAAAAAGAACTTGTCTTCCCACTAGGAAATAGTGATTCACTATATATACGTTTCCCTTTGTAAAAAAACAGCTGCTTTGAACTACCTTACTTTTCTCATGGCACTTGTAGAATCTGTTTTGAGCCAGTGAAAAAATTATGGCTTAATTTGAATTTGGAGGCAACAGTAAAGAATTTCCTGCTACTTGATGTAGGTCTCTTATTGAGTTGGTCTTGGGTGAAAGGACTCCTGACTCATATCAGTAGTCACCTCAGATCCAGGTTTTATTAAGGTGACATGGAATGTTTGGGAAAGGAACCTCAACCATGTGTTGATGTAAAGTGTGCTGTCTTATTGGACTGCAGCTTAGTTGAAGTATATTTGCTCCAAGTTTGACATCTGTCACAATTTCATTAGAATTTGTTTATAATCATTCTCATTGTGATTGTTATAATCAAAAGTTGGGATGAGGCTCAGGGACACAGATACAGGACTAGGTGTATGGCCCTATAGCTTGGAATGTTGCTTGATGTTAAAAAATATGACATCTGTTGCTGGGTGTACCTGTGTTATGTTGAGGTGGGTGGATTGATGATTAATTTTCAGTGTTCATGATTACATTTATGTGTCCTGAACATGATGATGAGGTACATAGAATGGGGTGATTTCTTTTGAAGTGTGTGGACTCAAGTCCCTCCTTCAAGGAGGCACTTTGTGAGACTTGTGTTAAGTTAGCCCTACATAGTGGATGCATGATGTGAATCTAGTTCTGAGTGTGTGGGTAGGTACATACGGGTTTGATTTGAACAAACCAAATATCCATCCCAACAAGCTTTGCTCAGACCAAAGGTTCCCTCATTGCCACACCGGTGCATTACTGTGCTTTGCCAAAGGTTGCGGAGTTCCATAATAGTTATGAAGATTACATATGTTGTATGTAGATACATGAATTTTGATAGTGTAGGATGCCAATAGTCGACTCTTGCTTCTCCTCTCCAATTGCTCTGTTGTGATGGTCTCTGTTCTAATGAATTTGATAATATAGCAAACCTCGACATAGCCAATCTCCCTTCATCAACATCCACAAAGGAAAAGAATGGATTCATCGCCAGAGAATAACAGTTCCCTGCAACTTGAAGTCCCGAGAATTGATAGTATTGATGCCGGTCTTCCTGCCCGCCGGCGCCGCAATGTTCGAGTGGGCCAGTCAAAAGAGCATTTTCATCCGTGTCATATTTATATGATGGCCATTGGTGGTTTGTCATTGATACAAATGATCAATTGATTTCCAATTCACGCAGATCCAACTCTGAATAGATCAAAACATTAATCTCTTCCATTCGCCCGCAATAGGTACCCTTGGTACTGGTTTGTTCTCGGGATCGGGGGAAGCACTTCGAGATGGTGGCCCAATTGGCCTCATCCTTGGACACATCGTCATGGGTTGGTCATCGCTGTTCTTGTTAAAATTCTCAATCCCTGCTTTTTTGGCTGACTTCCTTTGATAATTACTGCGCACCAGGGTTAATTGTCTACAGCATGATAGCTGCTCTGGTGAGTCGCGTTGTGCCACATCCTTAGGTCAATGAAAATGGTTGACATATTCCACAATTCAAAATTGTTTGCACGTAATTGAAATCGCAGGGTGAGATGGTGATAGTTTTCCCAGTAAGTATTTCCTCCCGAGATACACAGCCCACGAGTTCAACTTTCCAACTTTTGTATATAGGTCTTGATAAATACTGATCCCTTGGAACATCTCTTCTAAACGACAGGTTAAAGACCCTTTAATTGAATACCCTGCCCGCTTTGTTGATCCAGCGTTGGCCTTTGCATGTACGCTTTTTTTGATGTTTTACTTCTCTACCAGTTCCCTATCAGATTTCATAGATAATAATCGCCTTTTCAATTTTATCTGGGGCTCTGTCTGAAAAAAATAGTTGGCTGGAACTATTGGTATGCTCTATGGGTTTTCTTGTATGCAAGATGCTTCATTAATAGTTCCCATTGCAGGTACTCATTTGCGATCACCCTAACGACTGAGATCACTGCCGCAGGCATGATGGTATGAAAGACAAGACTCGCTCGCCTGAAACCAGGCCTTCCAACCTTATTTTAAACGTTTGTTGACATTGTTTTCTTTGCAGGGTACTTCATTTTTCCCCACCGGGTTCCGCTACATAGGTTTTGTAATCTGGGTGTTACTCGTCAGTTGCTCATTGACATTGACGTTACAAAATTTCAGTTTGAATTTTCAACGCGTCTAATTTTCTTTTTTTTGGTTTTGGGCTGTCTAATGCGTTTAGGTTTTAGGCGCCAGTATAGCTGTCAACCTTTGTCGAGGCAGGTGGTTTACAAAAGTAAGTTTCCTTCAAACCTCTCAAAAACAAGAACAAAACGAAAAGTCTATATGACTTAGCCTAATCACAAACTTGATGGCGAGTTCTTCATTGTGCATGCAATGGCAAGTTGGAGTTCTGCTTTGGTGGGTAATTTTGATAAATCTTCACTGTTTCTGAGGTTTTAAATTGATTTCCTCATGGGTTCAATTCAGCTGCTACAAAAATTGCTACTGTGGCAGGAGCGATTCTTTTGGGGATTGTTTATATCTCGGGTAAGCCTCGAGAGTCAACTTATCACATCGACGTTAGTTGAACTTTCGACCTAAACCCTTCGTTAATCTACATAGGTGGTTTTCCAAAGCAGGATCGAATCGGGTTTAGGTAAATCCATACCAAGTAGTCATCCTATTCCAGGCCAGCTAAATATTTGCATACCAAGCTCAGATCCACATTTCCTTTTTACATACTACCATCATCACCTCCATCACAGGTACTGGATTGACCCTGGTCCATTCAATCAATTTGATGATATTCCTGGCTCTCAAGGTCGATTCCTAGCCTTCTGGTCGGTCTTGGGTCACGTCGCTTTTTCACATCAAGGTAGAAGCAATCTTCATTTTGAGAGAGAAAATAGGAAAACGTTTGTTTAAACCGACCAGATATTCATGAACAAAACCGTTAAACTTCAAGGTACGGAGATCATAGTTCTGGCAGCCATAGAAACAGAAAACCTCAGGAAGAAGATCCCCAAAGCCATCCAGGCAGTTATATATCGGATCTCGATATTCTATGTTGGTAGTATGACTGTCGCTGGATTATTAGTAGCTCACAATTATGAACTATTGGGCGCCGCGGGTGCCGGTGCTGCAGCTTTTTCGCCATTTATCATTGCATTCCGATCAATAAATGGTGATGGAGTAGCTGTTGTAGTTACTCTAGGTTCATTCATCATCATCTCACTAATACCGGCACTAAGTTCACACCTATGTAAGTGCCCTCTTATGATCATATGACCAGTTGGAATGAGCATCCAAAATTGTTATTGAAACAATATAATTTTTTTTTTACATCAATCTGTTCCTCAACTCGAATTTTTATCCACAGACGCTGGCTCGGAAGTTTTGTTTAGTCTATATTCTTATGAAAATGAAAATGGACCATTAGCACCAAGGTGCTTCTCACGCCGTGCGCGCAATGGTGCCCTTTTTGTTGGTATAGGCATTACAGCTGTGTTTGGGTTACTGGCCTATATCAGTACTAAGGGTAGCCTCGAGAGAGCTAACGAGGTGTATGAAGATTTTTCAAGGATGTCATCCATCTCAGTTCTTATGACGTGGTGGTCCATCCTGCTTGTTAGTTTTTTTTGTCCTTTTTTCATCAATCACCTAAACTCGCCTGCCATACCTAACATACTAATCACAAATTTTGCGAAGACATACATCCGATTCTATCATGGAGTGTCAAAAAAAGTCGGAATAGATCGTAACATGTTTGTCTATAAGGCACCTTATCAACCATGGCTATCTTGCTTTGGATTCGCAATGATTACCTTGGTTGTCATTTTCAACGGCTTCGAGGTCTTTTTAAGAGGCGAATGGTAAGCAGATTGACTCTTCCGATGGGAGAGTTGTGCTACTCTTCTTCAATAGCATGCCTAAGTTCTGACTGAGGAGGAAAAACATTCACCTTCTGTTTGCAGGTCAACATCCAAATTCATCTCAGCATACATCTCGCTTTTGATATTTACCTTATGTTTTATCTGGTGGAAGATATCTCAAAGAACACGTTTTGTGAAGTTGGATCAAATGGACTTCGAAACAGGCAGAAGTGAATTGAACCCACTTCATGGCGTTGTGGAGGAGGAGAAGAACGTTAACTCAGTTGGCAAATCCAACAACTTCTTGCAATGGGTAATTTGTCAATTCTTTCTCCCAGAAGGAAAAATCAAAACTGACCTTTTTTCAACTTGCTCCTTAGGCAAGAGAGGCAAGGAAAAGTGGTGCATCTGGATGGTGGACAGTCGGTACTCGTAGTAAAACTGGGCCTCGCAAGTCTCAACAGGCCACTCCACCCTCGCAACTTGATGAAATTCCCCTCCAAACTCATGATGCATCATCTTCAACCCTGCGTCCTCCGACAGACTGTCCAGCACATCTCCGCCCGCTTTAGAATCACTATTCATTGCTTTCTATAAACACTGAAACTTGATAGGAAAACTCCGCAATAGCAAACTATTGTTTTATTATTCATCGGTGGATCTGAAGGCGGCCCCAAGGAAGAGTGAGAAAAAAAAAAAGACAAACGGGCAGGGGAGCGACGAGAGAGATATTAAGCACAAGCGACTCAGAGCAACATTGAGCCTTGCGAGTCGAAAAAGACCTTTCGAACCCTCCCAGCTTACGCCTGCACACACATCGGCATGTTTCTCCTGTGCAAACCTGCGTCCTGCGACAGATTGCCAAGTCGATCTGCGAGCACTTCAGAAGATTACTGATCACAAGAATTCGAAATTCAGACAAGAAAGCTTATAATTATTATCAATCACTTTCCAAAACTACCTGAACATAATGGAAAGAAAACCCCACGATGTCGAGCATTTTTATTGTGTCAGATAATATATAGAAAACTGGGGGATATGTACAGAACACGGAAAAGGGGTCCAAGAAATAGGGAGGAGAAACGGGCAGGGGAGAGCGGCTGGAGATTCATCAAGAAGAAGTGACTCGGAGTAAAATTGGACCTTGCGAGACGCAACAGCCCACACTCCACCCTCCCAACTTACTGAAATCCCCCTCGAAATACCTGCTCATATGTCGTCTGTGCAAACTTGGGTCCTGCAACAGACTGTCAAGTTCATCTACATGCACTCCAGAAGATCCATGATCACCAGAATCCGGAATCCATCCGGCCAGTGAAACATTATAACAAACTGCTAAATATTAGGGAAGACGAGAAGGAGTATTATTATTATTATTATTATCAATTACTATACACACACATACTCTTAAGTATCTATCTACAAAACTACATCGACATGTAAAGGAAAGAATAACCCGGCAACAACAAGCTTTTTTTTTTTGGTCTCCATTTTTTTTTTTTTTTCATTTGTGTGTACATCTTGTCCAAAAAAAAGAAAGGGGGGAGAGGACGGCTGTTGTGGGGTAGTTGATATGGTCGAAACAGGGAGGAGTGGGGAGAGGGCGGAATTGTTAAGGAAAAGAAAGCGGACCCAAGAAAGAGAGAGATAGAGAGACAACACAAAAAAACGGGGAACGGGCAGTGAAGTGAGAGGGGGGCAGGGAAGATATTAAGGAGGAAGTGACTCGAAGAAGAATCCGGCCAAGAAAGGGAAGACAAAGAAAGAGCAACCGAAGAAAGAACGGAACGACAGAAAGCCAACAACAAGAGAACGAGAAGGGGCCTCAAACGTCGAGAAGAAAGGAGTCCAAACCGTGCTCCCAATCAAGAAGATGCTCATCAAGACTGAGCAGATCAAGGAGGATTCGGTCCTGTTCCTGGGAGACTAGGGTGTCGACAAGGGTATGGAAACGAGCGACCATGCGGGGCTGGTTTGTGGCCGATTTCTTCTGAGAGGAGGGGGCCAAAGACGCAGGATTCGGGGCGGGATTTTGGGCCAGTTTGGAGCGCGTCCGGAGGGCTGGGTTTGCGGAGACCGTCGGACGGGAAGCGGGCTCGGTCGACCTCGAAGGCGGGGCCAGTGCCGGGCGCGTCGAGCTGGGCGGCCGCGTCTGCCGCGTCGTCGGTCGGACCGATCGGCTCGCCGGAGCAGGCAGATGTAAGTCGTCCAAGATCCGGACACCTGTTCAACAAACAAAAAAACAGCTTTCAATACTCGTATCTATGTGTCGGTTGGATCATCGTGCCAACATGACGTACCCTCGTAGGACGTCATCTCAGACACGGGCTCTCGCTGCCAGTGGCCCTTGTGGCCATCTTCTTCGACCACCCGGCGGATCTGCTCTTCCACTTCTTCTCCCGTCTCTGTCATCGTCGTTTTGGTTGTTGTTGTTGATGACAATGACGTTATCAGGTGGTGCTTCGGGTCTTGAAGTGTCTCCATGAATCCGCGAAAGTCGACCGCGTCGGTTTCGCTTGGAAATTCGACTGATTCGACTATTACAACAATCGGGCAATAAGAAAAATAAGTTTCAAAAAGGTTAATACAAAGTCATAATTAAAAAAAAAAAAAAAAAAAAAAAAAAAACCAGGAAAAGAGGAAGCTTAACTGATAGCAGAAGGAGGTCCATACTCGACATCAGGGACGAGATTCTGGAAGAGATTATGTGTGAAAGTGTCGGCAGCGGAAGCGGATTTGAGGGGAGAAGGAGGAAGATTGTCGGTGTCAAAGTCATCGAGATCGTCCTGGTCGGATCCGAAGAGGGGTTGTGGGGGCCGAGGGGCGCGTTTAGCGGTGGTAGGAGTGCGATAGTAGAGCAGGCGCAATCTGGCGTTAGACGGGCTGACGACCTCGGGGGCCTTGACGCTGTCCGCGGTCGTCGTCTGACCGACGGGCTTGTTCTTGTTCTTGAGACTGGGCGACGAATGCTCGTCGGATGCGCTCTCTTTCAGAAACCCATCACCCGTCAGGCCTCGGTCCTGGTGCGTCTTCGGCTTTCGGACCGTGTTCGTCTTGTCCTCTAGCGGCTTGTTTCCCAGCTTCTTGCGCGTCGAGGTGAGCCCGAGATTCTTGCCTGTCGTCTTGTTCGGATTGGCGGGGGTCGCAATGGGCTTGAATAGCCTGGTGGATGCTACATAAAGAAAAACCCTGATGGTTAGTTGTGACGGAGTCAATGGATTGGAGAATGTCAGAGAGAAGCTCACCGGAATCTGCCTCGGGATTGGTGGAGTGTGGGTCGATGTAGATCTCGAAGTGTTTCGGCTTAGGCCCGACTGTCCTCGGCTTTTGAGTGTTAAGTTTCTTGTTAGTTCTGGTGTGATAGTTGGCTGGTGTTTTCGATTGCAGGTTGGTGTGGCTGGACTCATGGACGGATGGTTGAGACATGGTGTTTTCTTTGTAGGTTTCTTTTTGTGGTCGTTGGTTGGTTAGTTGTATTGTGCTGGGAGGGAAGTCAAGAAGATGGGAGATGGGAGATGGAAGTGGATGGTCAAGAGGAAGAAGAAGAAGAGGTTGGCAGGAATAAAGATATCTTATATAAGAATGTGGCTTACATCATCACTCCAGTACCAACCCCAGTCGACAACCAAACTCAACAAGCCACCCACCTCATCACCCATGAACCTATGACTTCAAAAACAATATTGGCCAGAATACTGTCCTTGCTTGCATCACATCTTCACAAAAAACCCAATGCTTATCACTGCAACTGTGTAGCGCTGGCAAGGCCTTCTTATGATCCCAGATCTCCAGATAGCCAGCTTCTTCCTGGAGTCTGAACCACAGCCTTCTGAAAATTTACTGATCAGCATCTTCCCTAGTGTATTTTAGCCAGATTTCATTCCATCAATGATTTGTCTTTTCCCTCCCCCCAATGAAATGAGAGTTTGTTTGGGTCCTTCTCAACAGAGATACAGGTAGAAAGACCTTCCAAACATTGGACATCCAGAGATAGATTTTCTAAACTGAATGAATACACAGTTTTCAATCTGGTGGACCCAATCATGAATTTGAAACACTGATTTCAGTCAAGATTTTACCATTGTAGCTATAGGTAGCTTGCCCATGATAACCAGAATTGACAAAAGAAGATAAGCTACAAGCATGCCAATTCAGTTTTTTTTTTGGTTATTCTGTAGTTTTGAAAAGGGTGTATGTCCTTCCAGCCTCATGAAAATCAAGCCTGCTCCTGCCAAATTTTAGGCATAGTACATATGTATCAGCTTCTCCTACAGAAAGTACTGTGCACAGGGGCCTTTGGATCCTACATCCTAGTGGCTTTGTGCTACTGATTATGATTGACAATGAAACAGAAAAACAAAATTTCAAAAAATGAATTTATAAATATGATTTGAATGGACTCCAATTCCCTCAAAATGAACATCAAAACCTTTTGAAAAAAAAATCATTTTTATCTTTCACAACTTTGGAAACTTTGTTTTCTTGTTTTTATTTTCTCGTATCCATTTTTGGGACCTATTGTGCAACACTTGACCAAGTGACAAGTCTCATGACTTCAACTTTTTGAGAATCAAGCTCTGGAATTCAACATAACCAGCCACTTCCACTGTACACAATATTAATAGGATTAATCTTGGCAGGGGCAAAGTGATGATTTCAGCCAGCAAATCTCTTCCTCTGTACGTTCTTGTAGTTGTAGCTAGGTGATGAATTTCCAGCCAAAAAAATGAGCATTATTGGACATTTGTACAATAACCAAGGGATATTATTCAAAAACAAGTTGTGAGTGCATGGTTCAATGTGTATATCAATATCAATTGTAATTAGTAGGGCTTAGAAGTGGACATCTTTGGAAGAGCATAACAGATTTGAAATGGAATGAGAAGTGGGTAGCACTGTGTAAATAGGTGTAACAGATACAGGACAGGTGCTCTAGCGCAGTCAAACATGGATCAAAATAATAGAAAGTGTATATTGATATTCAAGGTACAGTGTGAATGGTAAGTGGATTAAATGGATATTATCGTGCTTCTTGGAGGTCGCAAAGATGACAGACAATGTTGACCGAGCTAATTTCAGTAGCCAGAAGTAAAAACCAGTGGTAGATATATTTATGATGCGCGAACAGATGCGAAAACGAGTCGGTATGAGGCAGCCATGAGTATATGAGCCAGAGATCCGAGTTCGAATCCATCTCAGCACCCTCTAGAGGGGTGACTGGTTTAAGTCAGATTGTTGTGACGGAACAGAGGGGGGTTTCGGGTTAGAGGTGAATTGGGAGAGCAATGTCGAATCGATACCGTTCGTAAGAGGTTCATTTTGCGGAGCCAAAGGTTGATTGTTGGTTGATAAGCACGACGAAGATTGTTTCTTGAAGCAATAGCCAGGAATACCATCAGAGTGATTTTTGCTTCTATCTTTGTCGAAGTCTGGCTCGAAAGGAGATGATGATGATGATGATGTATTTTCGCCGTCTTCCTCGTCTGGAAACTCTAAGGGCACCATTACGGTATAGAGCATGTTGAGATCATCTTCGTCCTCGTCATGACTTTCATCACTAACTTCTTCCTCACTTTCCTTATCTGGAAATCCTTCGAGAGCCCGGCCAATAAATTTGTGGGCCTTGTTTAATCCACCTTTAAAGAATGCCATACTATTGGTATATGGGGTCTTTGAATCGAAAACGGATTGTGATCGGTCTCGAGTGCTGAAGGCTGACAGGGCTTTGGCTTGATTATAGACGTCGGATGTGTATTCCTCTGATGTCGGAGACATGGTACCAGAAGCATTGATTGGTAAAAGTCTGAATGCTTTGGAATCTAGGCCTTTCAACTCATCAGCTCGAGTGAGAGAAGAGACTGGCTGAATGACAGGACTGCCGGAACCACGATTTCTACAGTCCGCGAGTATTTTCAACCAAAAAAACACTGATTAGGAATGAATTTGGTGGGCTAGAAGGACGCAATTGTGAATTTCAAAGCAGACTCAACAGTGAAGAGAGGCGGTATCGGATTTTGCGGGTAAATGAGCTATGCCTATTGTAAGCTTGATCAGGGATATATGGTGGCTTGGGACACGCCAACCTGGCAGCTGTCGAGGTGTTTGAAGTTGTATGCGACAAGGCGGAAGGTACGCCCGAAGCATCTGCAGCTAGCTCGGGGGAATCTGTTGCTGGAGGGTGTGTTGGGGGAATACCAGTAACCGTTGGGGGAATTCCGTTTATCCGTAAGATGGGGGTAGACTTTGCTTTCCTCAAGTCGCGTGATGATGCTTCGAGAATTGACGATGAAGTATTTGACGCACCATCTGGTTCATTCTCAAGTTTTTCGCATTGTCAGTGGACAAAACAGCGAGGGTGTAAGCAGCCGTTCTTCAAATGTGACTCACTCTGATCGATGGGGCCAACGCGAGTAAAAAGAAACAGCATTGTAGCAAGTTGTTCAAGATTATCCACGCGTTTTGCCGTTGGTTTCAAGGCCTTGTTGGGTATCCTTAACAAACTCAATCCGGCTTCCGTACGGTATAGGGTCGGCCAAATAGGGTAGATTAAGGAGTCTTTTTTTGGTTTACAAGAGAAGAGATAATTAGGGGTAAAATTGATTCAATGAATCACAGAACGATTGTGAGATGAGTGAGTGTATTTGTTATTGCTTTTCAACAAGACGCGGAAGATGGGGGAACAACGCGACTTGGCAAGATAGCGGTGGCCAATTAAAAGTATGCACTTCGCGCCCAGAGAACACGGACTTGCTTGTGTGGGATGGAGAAGAAGGTCGAATTTGTAGTCGATTCAAAGGACAGCTATGCAGCTAGCTCCCGATACAGACCGCGGACAAAACTGGCCGCAAGGGGCCACTTGTCAATCTCATTCAAGCGTCAGTCCAAGGACCACTAAAAAATCAGTGCGCCAGGCAGGCGATCGAGACCCCAGTAACTGGACTATGTGAGAGCAGTAGTTCCTAAAATCTGGGGGATCAGAGCCAGACGGGTGTCTGAGCTTTGAATGTAACATGTTGGAGAAAGAAAAATGTTCTCCAGTCGCCATACATATTCAGGTCGAAACAGGTTTTGCGGAGGATTGGAACTTCATATCAGAATACAAGCACCGGATGTTGTACATAACACCGGCGATACATTTACGCGCATCAAAAGCTGGGAGACCCAAACTGACCCAAATCGCGCGGAATTGACAAGGACCAAGATGGTACATATAGTCGATGTTGTTCGTCATTTTTCGGTCTCTTATGGGTTTTATCTGACAATGAGCTGAACTTGCCTTTCTGCTTCTTGAGTCGAGGCACTGAACTTGTGTTGTCATGACAGGTAAAATGGCGCTCTGCCCCCTTGATCCATGGAGGAATCAAGAATGTGTCAATGGTCTGGTGATGTCCATCGAATTTTTTTCCTCTCCTGGATCTGAGCGCGGGGGAGGAGGACTTAGGAGCTGCAAAGGATACAAGATGACTGGTTGGTGTCAACGACCAGGCCGTTCAAGAATCAATAACATTCTCTTTGATTGAGAGATTCATACTCAAGAATTGCTGTTAGTGGAACTGTCACCAGTGTCTTATTGATCTGGTAAATATCGAATACGTTGGATCAGGTGGTTTACTCCATGTGTAATATTTAAAAAAGGACCAGCCTTCTGTTTTTGGCGAATGAGAATCAGCTGGACAAAGGAATCCTTTATGACTGATGAATTTCCACCGACTTGAATGGAAAAAATGACTTGTTCAAGTGTACCACCACAGCAAAGATCCACTTTACAAAGTTTTTCTCAGATGTGCTCCTTTGAATTCAAATGAACAAACCTTCCTCCAGACTGATGGATCAAGTTCCCTTACCAGGAGCTCTGCAGGTTTTGTATTCTCCCACTTGCTGTTGACTATTTGGCATGATTCTTGTAAATTGTCAACCTTGTAATTCAAATTAACTGGATCAAATATACTCCAAGGACACTGAGGATGGGTAAACTCAGTGTACTGGTTCAACAAGGATACAAGAAGAAAAACCAATGGTGATAATTACTTGTATCATAGCTGTTTTAAATAGAATCATTACAAGGTGGATCCAACGGTAAAACAGATCCGATCCGATACGGTATCGGCCGATTTATCGGATCGGATTGATTTTTCAATACCAGGTATCGAAAAATAAGGGATCGGATCAATAAGGGTGATCCGATCCCATGGTATCGTATCAAAATGGTATTGGATCGGGATCGGGATCACATTGCAATCCCGATCCGGCACCCAAATGCTGCGGGCTGTATGCCTTACACTTGGGTATCATCCAAACTGTAAGCAATCCGATCCCCGGATCGGTATTTATTGGGGATCGGATTGAAAATGGACCCGATACCCGGTATCGGTATCGGATCGCTCCACCCGATCCCAGAAGTCCAATACATTGGGATTGGATTGGGTGGAGCGATCCGATACCGATACCTGGTATCGGGTCCATTTTCGATCCGATCCCCGATAAATACCGATCCGGGGATCGGATCTGTTACATCCTTGGTGGATCTAGTTGTGGTTAAGTGAAAACAAGTAAGATAATATGGTGGTTCACATTGGAGGTCAAGTGCTGCTGGTTTGCTTGCGCAGCATTGCTTTCTAGTTCTGGAAATTGGAAATCTACTCTCTCACCAGCCAAGTTGGCTTGCACTTGTCAGCCCAAACCTTGAATGCTCTGCTGGTTTGAAATTCTTGTGTTGATGAATAATTTCAAATGTGAACCCCCCTAGCTTAACAAAGCCTCTCTGGGGGGATCCCTGTGAGACACTTTCCATAGGAGAGGCTTATGAATTAAGTCAAAAATTTGGCTGGGACAGGAATGGTTTTCAAGCCTAAATCCACAAAGTAATTTTTCAAAAAGAGCCACTCAATGTGAAGAAAGACTGAATAGACAGTCTTCTGCGCTGTCTTGAAAAGCAACACTGGTCAAGATTTTGAAGGGCAACAACCCAAAATGACTATAGAAATACATTTGAAGGGATGTGGGAATCAAGAATTGATCTTAGCTTGGAGATTCCTCTGAGAGAGTTTCCAGAGATTTTGCCAGTCTGAAACTCCATTTTCTAAATTTGTTGAGGCTCTTGCTTGTCAAGGGTGCTGAGAGTGCAACTCATAGTCAAAATCTTGCTTTTTGAATCTGCAACGTGGCGGGCTAGAAAATCTTTGGCATATTGCCTTGCCAATCTTGGTGGATCTGTGTTTTGAGTTTTGATTTTGAAGGAGAATGAGTTTTTATTATCTTCAAAAGATTATGGAGGTAGAACCATTACAAATAGGGTGTATCAAATATAAGAAATCAGCCACCATTAGAAACCAGTCAATTATCCATTTTTTTCACCAATGGGTTCCCGCAGGGGGAATATGAAAAAGTAACATGTTTAAAAATGGCGGGTTTTTCAAAGCCAGTCAATCAAATAATGGTGGACTTGGTTATATTTGATACCCCCTAATGAGTGGATTAGACCAGCTCAAAATGAAAGCTCACCAACAAAACATTCATCTGGCTCTGGGGATGGGTTGTGCAGCATGGGGATAAGGAGTGAGAAGCTCAGCAAAATTCACTCCAGTCATTGATGTCCCTGTCCCAGCCAAAATTTCAACATAAATACACAAGTCCCTGCCTTTGAGCGCAGAAAAAACTGACTGCAGGCAAGAGACTTGTGATAGCTTAGGAAACCCCCTAAGATAGAGGGTATAAAATATAGGAAATCCACCATTAGAAACCAGTCAATTTTCCCAGAATTCTTTTTGCATCAATGGGCCCCAAAAGGGGTTAAACGAAAAAACAACATGTTTAAAAAGGGTGGATTTTTTACAAACCAGTCAATGAAATAATGGTGGACTTGGTTATATCTGATACCCCCTGATGATGTTGTATATAAACAAACAATACTATCAGTATCAGCCAGCCTATCTATTTGAGGCTAGGATGATTAAGCTAGGACTACTGCTACAAAGTTCTTTGACTACATGTGTGTAGCTGAATAATGCTACCTGACTAGTAAGGATTTCCTGAGAGAATGATTGAAAATAACCAATAACAACATCATGCAATGAGCATTTCAGTTTTTGAGGAATGAGTTAGAGGAACATAACTTCAACAACTCTTAATGCTGGCAGCTGTTACCATCACAAAGTGCTTGTAAAGTAACAATCTTTGGGGATGCTCAAGAACAGGTAATTCCTCATGTTCTACAAATATTATTCTCTAAAAGGTGTTTAACCTACAACCAGGAGGGAAGGATAGTGATGCATAGAAATATGCTTGTGCAACCATGCTAGGGCCCATAATTCTTTTTTACATTCATGATTCTACAATATGTATACAGGTTGGCTATGATTTCCCAGTCACCTTTCCCATTTACAACTTGATTACCAAGGCAGAGTGTCAGCCTATGTGATGCCAAGACACGTGTCCTCTAGCTACACAAGGTGAAAAAAGTAAGAGTTTTTATGGCAAAAACTCTGGGATAGAACTGGTACAGGTAATTCAAAAGAATTACGTGGAATTTATGGATTAAATCCAAAAAGTGGCCAATTTATATTAATAAAATTAATATAAATTAAACCAGAGGGGCCTGATAAATCAGGGGTGGTTTAATCCCTCTAAGGTATCGTGCAAAAAGCAGAGGATTTAGGTACCTGATACACTGGGGCCTGTAGCAGGTGTGGTTTAAATCCCAGGAGATAATTTTTAGGGGAAAACCTTCAAGAAAGGGTTATTACTCACTAGTAATAATCCAAAGGGGTCTTGAGGATTTTCTTAGTAGAAACTGGACAGTTGGGAGCGCTCAGAAAGGTTGATTTTGGGTGCTGGGTGATAACTGGGGATTTTCTTGAGGGTTCTTGAGGCTTAATAACAGCAATTATAGTAGTAACTAGGCTAATTACAAGTGTAGGAGACTTGTAAATGGTAAGTAAATTTCTATAAGTTATTGTAAAGCTGGGGAATCATTATTTGGGCGGTCAGAAGGCCCTTTAAATACCTGTGGAAGGCCTCAGGGGTTGCTCAGGGGAGCTTAGTAGGACTTGGGGGCGCTTTTGGGCCCATTTTGGCCCACATGGTGATGTAACCAGGGCTGGAACCTTGGGGATAATATTCCAGAAGCTCCAAGGGGTCATGCACGAAATTATTACAGCCAAGAATGTCCCATGGGAACCTGTGGATAGGGGCTACTCTGTTACATGGAGCAGGTTCCTTGGAAATGGGCCACAGAATATTCCAGAGGTGTCTTCTGAGGCTTGCTACACGTGTTACCCACTGGAATATGGTTACTGTAGTATTTTCATGGATATTCTAGCTTGTTCACATTCTTATTACATGTGTGGGGGCTTTGTTGCCACGTGCAATGGGGATTCTGGGGCTTTTGTGGCCCAATCCTTGGATACTGGTGCGCAGCATGACTACGTGGCACATGGGCTTGGAGACAGGACTCCACACTGCTCTATCTTCTAAACCGTGCACAATACTCCAATTCTGATACTGGATTTGGAGTATATGCATTATGCATTATGCAGAAGTGTCACAGTACCCGTGATCTGGGGGTACCTGTTAATTATTCATGCTTGTATTACAGGATGAGGGAGTTAGAATTTGGGGTACCTTTGGCTGATTATTCATTTATTTTTATGTATTTTTTATCTTATTTACATAAGTAATATTGTTTCTTTTACTTATGTAATATTTTTAATTTATACTTAGATTTTTTATGTAATTTATTATTTTTATTTGCTATGACAGGTTGTCTCTGCCATAGTAGCAAGCTGACACAGAGCATCTCAAGACTGCTCTCAAATTTTGATCCTCTCATCAAGGCAGCTCATGTGATGCTGATTTTGAGAGTAGCCACCAAAACTTGTCAAAAATCTCCTGATGGTTTACCAGGAAATTCCTAAAGCTTGAAGGGGAGATCCTCTGTAGAAGCAAGATTTCCTAGTACAAATTTACTAGCAACTGTTCAAAAACAGAGAATCTATTTTTGATGAATTTTCAAGACCATGACTAAAAAGGAAAGAGAATTGACTGGAAAAGGAATCCTGAAAGAGAGAAAAACATAGGTCAAGAGGCTTTCTTTGAGGGCTTTAAGCTGCTAGCTTGGGAATGGGAGGTGGAAAAGTGCTCTCAGTGCAAGTGGCTGTATGAGTGGCCACAGGGATTGGAAGAAGAAAAATCAATGGTGTTTATTTCTTCAGAAGAAGCTGCTTATTAAAACTGGGGGGCTGAGTTATGGGTCACCAGGAGAAAACTATACACATGAAAGAAAGAAATAAACATGTGAGATAGAAGTGAAATTCCAAGATTTTTGATAATCAAAAATTGGTTGGCTGGACCATGAATTGCCTCATTCTTCAGGAATTTGAACATGATACAAATTTTTCTTACCTCTGGAGTCCAGTGCTGTTGTCTATCAGATTGACAGAATCAAATTGTTAATCTGAAAATTGGTGAGTGTCCAGTTCAAGAAGGCCGTGCCTTTCAGGAAACAACTTCCTTTCCCAACTAGCCCAAGGTGGGTTTTGACCTGATACATCTACATCAAAAGTTCACAACACATTTATCTCTCTAATCAGCCTCCTGTTTCTTCAAAAAATGATGGTCTATCAAAATTTGCATGTTGTGTGCTGAATTTAAATATACAATGCAATACACAAATTGCGTGTCAATAATAGGGGGTATCAAATATAACCAAATCCACCATTATTTAATTGACTGGTTTGAAAAAATCCACCCTTTTTTAAACATATTGGTTCTTCATTTAACCCCTTTTGGGGCCCATTGATGCAAAAAAATATTTTTAAAAAAGTGACTGGTTTCTAATGGTGGATTTCCTATATTTGATACCCCCTAATAGGGCTTTCCATATCACTTTATGAAACTGTGGATTTTTATACATTTGATATGGTGATTTATTTTGGGAAGCAAACATTAATTCACATAAAATGTCTTTGGCCTGGAAACCAGCCAATAAAGATCAACATGTGCATACATATCAAGCAGTGTTTTACCCTTTTGACCTGTGATTTGAAATTTTTTATTTGGAAAATCAGCACTGGGCCACTATGCTACATTATACTAAAGGACTATGTTGTTAGTGTAGCAGCACTTGCCTCAGCCTGCTGGGGCTTCAGTGCTAGTGGTGCTGAAACATCCCCACAATACTTTAAGGTATGAAACACCACTTTTGGTGTCTTCTTTCGATAAAAAAGTGGCACATTTCCACAGAATGATGGGGTTTTCAAGTGCAAACAAACAGTGCTAGCACACCAGTCCTGCAACAATCAGAAAAATTTCTAGCTGTTGGTACATTTATGCTGTGCTGAACCACATTCACACAAATGTTAGAATAGCTGGCCCAGTGTTTGGAAAATCTGCTACTCAAATTTACAATGGCCAGATTTCACAGATCAGTGGTCATACCCTTTCAAGAAAGATGACTTGTGTGCATCCATCCAAGAAAGCCTTCAGTTTGAATTCCACAAGGGCCCATAATGCCAAGTACCAAAGTTGGCCAACCCTTTGCAAACTCACTGATTGCTTGTTGATCTGTATTTTTGAACAGCTTAACCTTTACAATCCCTTGTATCTGTTGCAAAGTATGTTTTGAAATCTAACATCCCCGTAAGAATATGCTGTTTGGAAAACAGTTTATAACCTCTCATCTGATCTGGGGTGCTTGCAGATGTTGATCTGGAGTTGTAGACCCAAGAATTCCAGATTTTTGCACAGAAACCTAGCCTTTGAGGCTCTCAATTGGTTCTGGGGAGCCCACAGATTTTCATGGGAAGCCATCACGTTATTGCAAACCTTGTTGGATGGATGGTGTGTGGAAGGGCCAGGACAGAGGTAGGGTTGTTTGTGATGGGCTAGAGATCATGGACAAACAGTGCCTGTTTGACATATTCACAGCGAACTTAACACAAGTCCCCCCTGGTGGGAGGCTCGCTGGTGTAACTGGCTGGGCGCGAAGCGCCCCCTCCCGCAGGGAGGGACTTGAAACTTAAAACGCGTTTGCGGTGTGACCCAGAAACACCGTTTTGGTGGGAGCAACCTGGTTTTCATCATCACATCTCCAAAACCATGCAGATTCTTTTTTCCTCCGAGTATGTCAAAGATATGTATTATTGTGATTTTTTCATGTTTTTTATTTTGGTCGGTCACTGCAAGCTTCTAAGAGTAAAAAAACATTGAAAAACAAACTTGGATTCAGACCTGACATAACAAGGTCCGAGTTAGAAGCATATTTATGCTTAAAGAGAGTTTCGGTAATGAACATGCAGATTTTCGATATCATCACTAAAGTCCGCATACATCCTGCCTTTTTTTCGACCATCGACCATCGATCCAATCACTTCATCAGATACATACATACTCAACTCCTGGATCTTGAAGATGATTCCCCTCGAACGGTACAAGGAGCTCAAAACACAAGCATCGAAGGTCGTATACGTTTGCGATGTCATGAATCTACTCGGCATGACTCCGAAACAGTTCTTCCTTGCATTCGTTGAGCAAACCGATGTGCAGCTAACGAGTCGTCGTTGGCTTTGGGCGGACAATGCCTGGGACTCAACGAGGATCCTTCTGGAGGCGATTGGAACAATGATCTGCTCTCGCAAACCTGGGGAAACCAACTGGCATGAGTTCATCCTCAGTCAGGTAGGTCTTTCGATATCTTTTGGATCTCACAATACTAGCAATGTCTTTCTTGATTACTCACACATCGGTCCCATCTTTTGGGCTGTAGGCTAAATTGATTCTCAAAGTCGATAAAAAACGTGAAAACCCTCGAGGATTGTATTTTAACTCTACAGAAATTACCTCCGATTTTTTCAGCGAGGAGAATCAAGTACTTCGCGACAAACAAATGATGGACGAGGAACAGCCGTTTCTATACAAGCTTCTAAAATCAAAAATACTACACCAATCTGATTTTAAAGACAACAACTTACATGATTCAGATAGCGAAACTGAAGACAACAATGACATCAATGACCACCAGGATACCTTGGATGAGGATTCTAGGCTTAAAGCTAAGATTGATCGAGCCCATGTTGTATGTTTCTTTCTCAAAATAATCACAGATATCCCCACTTCGTCATTTATAACATGATTCTTCTTTGATTTTGTGGTTCAAACAGATATCAAAAACTATATGCTCAATGGTGACGTTTGCATCCAACCGGAGAAAGAATGTGATGCAGCTTGAGAATGCCACCACCTTCCTAGCCTGCGGGATCTCTGATCGGGTCAGCAAGTACCTCAACTTTATCAGCTTGACCTCCTCCCGTTCAACTGCTCATTTGGCGTTGTGCACCCTCGGTGACAAATCGGAAAAGAACATCGTAAAACACATGAAGATTGGTGCAGCTACATCACCCAACTTCTGCCCACTCATCTGCATTGACAATCTCGACTTCCAGGAGGCGGTTCACGTTAAATCAGTTGACAATCAAAGTTCAATGTTTCACGGCACCTGGGGGTACCTTCATCGGCCCAATCCCGATATTCTAGCGAGTTTGGATCCAAAAGAGCTATCCCTTCAAGCTTACAAGCATGTGATTTCGAAGTTGGCCAATGATGTTATCTCACCAGCAATGTTTGTCTTTAACAAGGAAGAAAGCTCACACAATCAATCAGTTTTGAAGAGCCAAGTCGCAAATGTCTTCATGACTTACATTGCTACAACAGAATATCGAACACCAAATATCCCCCTGAATCCGCCACAGATCGAGGTACTAGCTGCTCAAAAGCCAGATATTACAATGCTAAAACTAATGGTTGCATCAGACAACAGCTCTGAAGGCATTGGCGAAGTATACGAAGGTCTTGTACGACAAAGTGGACTTACTGCTGCAGACTTTGCTTCAAGACTAATGATCATTGAAGGTGATCTAGGGACCTGTCTCAACCTGAATAGTTTACGAGCACAACGGAAACCAAACAACCACGCCGAGGAAAGCCTTTCAAATGTGTTCACTCTCTTAGGCGGCGCACATATCCTTTGGAACGTTGCCCAGACTATAATATTGCTTCATTTTGGGAATAGCTCTGACTCAAAAGATCTTGGCTGCTGGCATTTTCTCGAGGCGCTAGGAATTAAATCAAATCAAGTACTCAACAAGAAAGATTTCTCGCTGATGCTTGTGCAAGCACAGAAGGTACATGAAGCAACACTTGCTTATCTGATACTGTACGCATATTCATTTTCTTCTCTGCATACATAGTCCCCTCTGGATTGATTGTATTCAGCCATTTATTCTTTCAGATTAACTCTTGGAAAACACACCGAATCGTTTCCAAAGGAGAAGATTTCAATGCCAGCAAAAAAAATCCTCACGATCATCGACTCTGTTTATGACCAGTATCTTTCCCCTCAGGCCCTTACTAAATCAAAGAATGTCAATGCACCCTGTCTTCACAATATGCTGCTACGACTGCGTGATTTCTCAAGTATTGTTGAATCAACGGTGGGCCGCTACGCTACACTACGCTATTTGGCCACTACATGTTAGCGTAGTTGCTTTTTTTTTTGCTGGAAATCCTGTAGTGTTAGTTCACGCTACACACCGCTGAGCTAACTGCTAGCGTAGCGTGAAATTTTTCCCTCAAATTTTTTTTAGTGTTAGCTTGAAATAATTGCCACTAAACTAACAAGTAGCGTAACTTTTTCCAAGCTAACAAAACTTCCACCAACCAGCAGCGTAACTGAGTTGACACTAACATTTAGCGTAACTTATACCAAATTAAGCTACACTACGCTACACTACATGTCTAGTTACGCTACACATGTAGTGTAGTGTAACTTGTAACTCATCAATTAAAGAAATTGATGTGTCAAGCTGGATTTTTGCACAACTTATGTGAAATGTTCATATGACTGATACGGCCGGGGTCCACGGTGACGATTTTCAATGTCCCGTGATCGCACACAATCCCGCAGAATATGAACAGCACAAGATGTGGAGAAAAACAAACTTAGGATGTGCCTGGTGAGATTTGAACTCACAACCTCAGCAATGCTGAGTCACATACAAGAGTGCTTCCTTTACCAACTAGGCTACAGATGCTTGTGTTTGCCAGGTCAGTTGGGTGGTAGTTGTCATGGCCCATGCCCACAGCTCCACCACACTCTGGTGATACATAATGGCAGCAGACTATCATACACCTCAACACACACACACACACACCCCTTGCTGCATGATGTCAAAGTGGAAATTGAACACAAGTAAGTGTGGGAATGGAACCCAGTAAATTAAAAAATGGCAGGGGGCTAAAATTGAGTGGCCCCCAGTACCAACTGAAAAAAAATGATGATCAATTGAGGGGATCTGGATGTAGGCCCCCCAATCAGGCACTGTCTTCAAGGTAGACTAGCGCTAGTCATGTAGTCATGTAACTACATAGTCAGTTACACTAACAGTTAGTGTAACTTTTAATCAGTTACACTAACAGTTAGTGTAACTTTTTCACCAGTTACGCTAACAGTTAGTGTAACTGAGGGTACCACTACACTAACTGTTAGTGCAACTTTGCAAAAAGTTACACTAACATGTAGTGTAGTGGGTTCACCCACTAACACCGCTAAAATTTCACTAACAGGATTTTGGTTAGTGTTAGTTGTGCCTTTTTGAAGGTAGCTAACACTACGCTAAAGTTGCTTTTTTGTTTTTCAAAAATCCTGTAGTGTTAGTGGGCCAAAAATTCCCGCTAACGGTAACTTTTGTGTAGCGTAGCTTAAAAAGCTAACACTACGCTACACTAACACTACGGTTAGTGTAACTGGCCCACCGTTGGTTGAATGCAAACATGCAATGAAGGCCGGCGATATCGGGCGTGTACTAAATATTTGGAAGAGGTGGTCGGTTATGGCCCAGGGAATCCAAGGTCTCACAAATTACGCAATTCACCTTCCTCGAATGTATTTACTACTCACAAAAGTACTTCCCCCTGACCTCTGATTGTTACTCAAACATTCCCTTCTCATTACTCCAACTGGCCGAGCCAATCATTTTGTGGCTAAAGATTTTCACTTAGAAAACCAGAACTTCTTTCTGAAATATTTTTACAATCACACCGGCATGGGTACAAATATTAAGAGGCTGAAGGATGAGTTCTCTCTTAACATCAAAACAGTGAGTTTTTTTATTCTTGGTGGTATGATGGATTCAAAATTTTCAAACAACTGTATTTATAAATTATGCATTTTCATCTTTTCATAGCTTCAATCACTTTTGAATTCACTGAATGAAAAATGTGGACGAAACCACATATACCAGTCACATAAAGACCCAATTTCTATTCCTTCAATGGTCAGCTTTCTCAAAATGGCGAACCAATACGACATCTGCTGTCTTTCACCAAAATCCAATGTAACAAACAAGGTCAAGGTCGTGGATGTCTACAGTATGGGGTTCAGAGTGATGCAGAGCGATGTCAAAAAAGGAAGCTCAAAGATGAATCGAATGCGGCCCGCGACCACTCTTCACGAGGAAATAATCGATGACACAGACGAAGTTGATGAGGACGATGAGCAAGTTCATGATGAAGAGGACGACGAGACAGCTTGATTGGGCATTGCATTTGAGTTAGCTTCAGTTGGTTTGGGTACCGTATTTCTCTTCTGAATCCGGATTGCGTTCTCTAGTTTGTACTGCTCTAAAAACACTTGATCTGCCAGCCACTTCGATCGCTTCCTCTCTTTTTCAATCTCAGCTTTGGTTGGAATTTTTTTGGGGGTTGTGGTGTCAACTGCTGTATGTTTCCTTTTTCGTTTGTTTTTTCCTTCCATGAAAACCTGGTAAGTACTTCCGGTGCAATAAATATCGACTACAGTATGTTTTAAATGTTCCATCTGCCCTTCAATCATCTCGCCACCAATCACTCGTGTAATTTCCGTAAGTGGTAGCCCCTTTTTCACAGCAAGAGCAAACACTCTTGCCTGCTGGATCTCAAACATATGATCAGCAGGCACCTCCGCTGTCTCCGCATCGAATGTTTTGTTAAATAGTCGGCCAAATTCTAGAATGAGTTGGTTTGCTAATTCTTCCAGCACCGGATCCAATGGTTCTTTTGTTGATCCAAGTCGGTAAGTCGGTTGTTGTGGCATTCTGATGTAAGGGGTGTTTAGTGGATTGTCTGGTAAATCTTCACCAGTTTCCATGTAGTGATCAAAGTTGGATGTTCGGAATTTTCTGAAGTTATCAATAACACTCATTGCTTCTTTTGGCTTGCAGTTAGAGCATAAACAAGCTGGAAAGTCCATTGCAATTTCGTGATCACGTTCTCGAGCCACATTTGGATCGTCACAGGATAAAGGGACATATCCAACCCTGGATCAAGCAATGAAATTGTCAGTTATTCTTCTGCTATATTGATATAGTCTTTGCATGGGTTATCTTACTTGTTATCTATAGAGAAACATATCCGCAAGCAGACCGGTGTTACAGCAAGGGCGTCCATCCTCTCGTCATCTGTTTGACAAGTTGGGTTGGTGAATTCTTTGACAGTGTTCTTTCCAGATCTACGATTCTTCTCGACGAATAATATAGCTAATCCATTTGATCCTCCCCTCCCGCACCGACCAATCATCTGACAGATAGATGCTGGATCGCCTCGTCCAACGTGAATTACTGATCGGACTCGCTTCCAATTTTGCCCGAGGCCCAGGGCCATAGTGCACGCTATTACTGGAAAATCTCCAGCAGCAAATTTGGTTGTGGTCTCTTCCTTACTCATATCACCTGAACACGCATGGAACCTCCGAGCAAAGGTACTGTTTGCATCGTTGTGGCCACCCATAATGCGTCGTCCCTCGTGGACAACCTTGGAAACTTGCATGGTAAGGTTTTGAGTGGTTGAGTAAATTAATGTTGGTATTATTTCGTCATCTGGGATACAGCAACGTGGGCCATAGAGCTTCAAGAGATCGTCACACGACTTCAGCGAAGATTTCATTGGAACCCTGACAATGCAAATCTCTGGTCGACTGAGTTCTGCGTTTCGATAAGTGATTGCCTCTTCAGTTATTTTAAGGCTCTCGAGTATGGCTTTGATGGCTTGTGGTCGACAGGTGGCTGATAAAAGCAGTAACGGAGCATTGATCCCCAGAAGACGAGATGCAATATCGCCATACGATGGACGGAAGACCCCTCGATCCTGATGGCGGCCATGTGAGAATATTTTTTTTGATTTGCCACTCGCGACCAATCCCCACACATAAATCATGTGCGCCTCGTCGACAACTACCAGCGAAACACGATTCTGAAACGTTTCATTGAAAAATATCCTAGTGAATATTGGATTATTCAACAACACCTCGGGGCTCTTTGAAAATGTCAGTTTTGATGATCAGTGATAGTGGTAAGAAATAACACCTCTGTTAGCTTACCAAGTATATGAGAGAGTAAGCTCCTTTCAATATCTTTTCCTCCACTTCCTCATTAAGGTTCATTTTTGTTAAATTGATCGCTGAAATTTTTGCGTTTTTCTTCTCTTCCACCTAATCATACAACACAACTTAGTTAGTCATGCTTCTTCAGTACAAGTTTGTCCAAACAACTTAAACAACTCACTTGATTGTCACCAAGCGAGTCCAGAGGGTTCAAGACTAACACGATTGGCTTTTTATATTTGGGAAATAGATCCCAATACATTTCAGCAATTCGACTCTTGCCAATTCCGGTCCCTGCGAGGACAAAAGTATCACGACGATGGATCAAGTCGATAACCGAGTCTAGCTGGATTTGTTTTGGTTCTTGGCCTCCGTAGACCATTTTCGATCGTTGTTTCAACATTTCGATCGATTTTTCTCTTGACTTGTTGACTATGTCCTTGCCTAAGGTAAGCTGGCCGGCTTTGTTCTTGATCGCTCGGCTGGATTTTTCCAATGGAGTATCGACCCGGGGGTGACAGTCTGATATGTCTTCGAACGGCAAGGGATTTTCTGTAATATCCCCGAACGACGATAAATTTGGATCTTCTGTAGGATCACCGACCAAAGATGAATTGGATCCTTGGAGTGGATGATCCTTGCGATGACTCTCATCTTCAAAAGGCAGTACGGTTTCTTCAGCAGTTGGATCAACGGACATTTTTGATTTTTCGGGTATGTTTAGTTGTCTGGTTTGCATCTGTAACTCATAAACGATTTCAACTCATAATGTACACACTGCTTGCCCCGATCATTAATGATCGGTACCGATCTCGTTAATTCCACTTAGTCATCCATATGATGTGATATTTCTTCATTATAATACATTCACATAATGAAAAATAATCGAGGGTTCTAAATTCCTTTTGTCAAGTTTCAAAAATAATGGAATGGATACAGGAAGATAAAAAAAATAACAAAAAATCGCAGAGATAGTAGCGGGTAAGAAAAACCCAACGAGCTAATTTTCAGAGGTGTGGCATAGGAGCGGGAAGGAAAAGTGTTAAAATCGGGCTCTTTATCACGCCTGCCTCACGCGGGCTTTGAGTAATACAGTATAAGCCTCTCTGACGAGACTGGGCTGCCGCCCAGACCTGCCCGCAAACGACTCTCGTCACGAGAGGATTAGTTAAGCTCGTATTCACAGGGAGGCCGACTCATGGGATTCAAAACACTAGCACCAGTGACAGGTGTACCACTTGGTAGATGGTGTGGGAGTCGGTCAGCGAGCGCACCCGGGGTGTGGGCGCTTACATAATCGATGGGTTTGCTGCTGATGTAATCAACTCCGACCAATCAGCACGTCCGAAAACTGGATGACATCAGCCAGCGCCCAGAGGATATATAAGCCAGCCAGCGCCCCCCCAGCAGAGAACTGCCCACTCGATAGCAATCCACAACAACAACAACTCACCAAAAACACGAAACACAGAATGGCTTCAGCTCGATCGATCAACCTCTTGCGATCCTCAGCAAAGCAATTTCTGCCCATACAACGACTCCCCCGGGCTACTCATGGGCTCCGATCATCCTTCTACTACTCCACCGCCCCGGCCGGAGCGAACCCCTCATCATCATCCTCACAAGCACCACCCCCTCCGCAAGGGGAACCGAAGTCGTCCAAGACCCCGTTGATTGCCGGCCTCGCGCTCGGTGGAGTCGGACTGGCCTATTACTTCTACGCCCTCGACTCGGACTCGGATCTCCAGAAGAGATACACCACCCCCAAGGCCGCTAACAGTAACCTTAACTTCCAGGCCGTCTATAACGATATCGCCGCCATCCTCGAGGATAGTAGCTACGACGACGGATCCTATGCGCCCGTCCTCGTCCGTCTCGCTTGGCATGCCTCCGGCACTTACGATAAAGAGTCCAAGACGGGCGGCAGTAACGGAGCCACGATGCGATTTGCGGTGGGCAATCTCTCCTTCTCCTTTTGAGGGAAATCATCGACTGATCAAAGATCCATTGTTTTTTTGTTTTCGATCGAAAAAAAAAAAAAAATTGTAGCCTGAAAGTAACCATGGAGCCAATGCAGGTCTGGGGGTAGCCCGAGAGAAGCTCGAGCCGATCTACAAGAAGTATGCGCGCTCGGGGCTGACGTATTCGGATCTCTGGACACTTGCGGGGGTGGCGGCGATCCAGGAGATCGGCGGGCCCAAGATCCCGTGGCGTCCGGGACGACAGGACGGGGTTGGGCCCGACAACTGTCCGCCGGATGGACGATTGCCCGATGGTGATAAGGACCAGGACCATGTGCGAAAGATCTTCTACCGCATGGGGTTCAATGACCAGGTCAGTCTGATCATTCCATCTCTCATCCCTCTTATTATTATTAACACTTGATATTTGAAATTTTCTTTAGGAAATCGTCGCCCTCCTCGGCGCCCATGCCCTCGGCAGATGTCACACAGACCGCTCCGGCTTCGAAGGCCCCTGGACATTCTCCCCCACCACGTTCTCCAACGACTACTATCGACTGCTCTTTGACGAGAAATGGCAGCCTCGTAAATGGTCCGGGCCGCCCCAATACGAGGACAAGAAGACTAAGAGTCTCATGATGTTGACCACGGACATGTGCATCGTCATGGACAAGAGCTTCCGCAATTGGGCCAAAAAGTTCGTCCCTTTCTCTTCCAAAAAACAAAAAAAAACATTGGGTTGAAGTCGGACGTTTCTGATTTTGGTCGGGCTATCAAAATTATTTAGATATGCTACCGATGAGAAAGTCTTCTTCGACGACTTCTCCAAAGCGTTCTCTAAACTGATCGAGCTCGGAGTTCCTGAAGAAAACTTCTCTGGCAAAGCGCCGATGACGTTGAAGACTTTGGATGAACAAGGCATCCAAGTCGATTGAATATCATACCCACCCCCCCTCCTTGCCCATTTCATTCATCCAAAAAAAAAAAAACAATGAATGAATGAGGCTCTGTTTTTTGTTTGTTATATTTGATTCCATATATCTTGTTTGATGAGAGAACCATACATACACGTGACCAGCAAAGAGAAAAAAAAATATATACCTTGTTCTGTTTATGTATGAATTCTGTAAGGTCATTTTGATCTTGGCCAGATCCATGAGACGAGATAAGCCATACTGATTGACAAGTATCTGATATGAACCTGATCATACTTGAGAGTCTTTCTGAGCATCCCGGGCCAACACGAGCTTGGCACAACAGTCCAGTTTCCTCTTCTGGTGTGAATGTGGTCAGGACACAGCTCCCTATATTTTATTTCATGAAAGCAGCGGTGGGCCGCTACGCTTTTGGCCCAAAAAGCGTAGCGTAGCGGCGCTTTTTTTTCATCAAAAAACCGTCGGTTTTTTAGCGGTTTTTCGCTACGCTACGCTGCGCTACAGCGCTTTTAGCGGAAAAAGTGGCAAAAAACTGCTAAAAACCACTGTAGCGCAGCGTAGTGGGCCCTTTTTTGTGGCCCACACGCGTAGCGTTAGTGGTGTCATGGCGGAATTCCGCTACGCTACGCTAATCGCTAACAGCGATTCCGCTGCGTTACGCTACACTAACCGCTACGGTTAGTGTAGCGGCCCACCGTTGATGAAAGCTTTCAATAATAATTATTGGTGGCCAATCTTGTAGGCCTTCAGACTTCCCCTTCAACAGGTAGACTGAGTACTGTGTGATTTGATTGTGAAAAAAAGCCATATTTCTGTCTTTTACACCAAAATTGGAGAGATCTAGGATTGAGATTGTTTGCCTTTTGGCTACCCACTGGATTCCTCTGAAGTCTGGGTCAGTCTTGATGGATTCAAAATCGGAGTAAGGTTGAATATTCTTGCTCTAATATGGCACTGGCCCTGATCAAAGATGGGCATGAAAAAAAAAAAAAGAGAATGTGTTGTCTCTTTGGTCCCATATGTGTAAGAACTGCCAGTGGACTGGAGAGGAGAAACTAGTATATCTGGATTATATACAGTGAAAGCTAGATAAACCAGAGAATCCAATTTCACCAAATGTAAATCCACCTCTCCACACCCCAAGATTCAGTCCAGCTTGGTTGCTGTGCTTTCAGATCCGGGATACTTCCAAACATTTGGCGGATTCTTCTCTTCCAGCTGCATCTTGTGAACAGAAATAAAAGACAATTAAATGTTGATGAGCCCAGAGAAGATAAATGGAAGTGAATGGATGTCAACTACAAACATGCATCCAAGTCTCAACTCAAGTTCATCCCCTGCGATGGCTAGTGCTACTGTTGGCAGGTTGTGAATTGACACTGGATGAACTTCCTTCTCCTGAGCCTACCCTTGATGAACCCTGGCCTATTTCCAAATCAGTGAGGTCAGTAACCATTGAACCAATCATCACCAGCAAGTCTTATACATGGTTGGCTTACTGGAATTGGTTCCTGACTGATTTTCTCTACCTAGCGCAAGCAGGTTGTTCCAGTCTGCTTTGGTTTCTTCATGCAAATCTTCATCTGATCATCTTTTGATATCAGCTGTATATCCAGGATTGCGATTGTGATAATCAGGAGGTTATCTATATGTACATGATTGACTCACTAGTCAAGCCAACTGTTTGTCTAGGTCCAACATACACCTTTGATGAGCCACCTTCAATAAGTACATTATCCAAACTGGTCAGTGGGATTTTCAAGATAACTTTTGAAATCTCAAGTTGAGAGAAGAATGATTTCTACACTCACTGCCACAAAACGCACCACGGATTTTGTCCATGGGGGCAGCTTCAAGAGGGGCAAAGAGCCAAGAAACATGAACAGCAAGGAAGATTGTAGTTTTGATTGAAAGTGTAGGATTCATGATTGACTGAGCTTTGGATTTAGGAAGGTTCAGGTTGATTTGGCAAGATGCTTTCAGACTATGATGGATGAGATTCAAGAACAGATGGGTGTGAAATGTAAGATCTATTTATAACCAAGATCTGAGGACACACATGGTGCATTTTAATGGATATAAAGACACAGGTCACATCTAGCATCCGGAATGTTTTCCTGTTGTGTGAGTGTGACAGCTGAACTGATCTAGTGGCAATGTGGTACCAGATGGTTTGCAAGGGCAACAATTCAATATGCACTGGCATTGTTTAGTTGGGCACAGCTCTGATACTTCTGCTGTCAAAGTATCATTGATTTTAGATGTGGGTATTATATTGTTGGACCTTGCACTGCCTCACATCCGGAAGCCAGAATTTTTTCCTGTTGTGTGAGTGTGACAGCTGTACTGATCTAGAGGCAATGTGGTACAAGATGCTTTGCAAGGGCAACACTTCAACATGCACTAGCTTTGGTTAGTTGGGCACAGCTCTGATACTTTTTCTATCACAGTATAATTGATTTTGAATGTCGGTATTGTATTGTTGGCCCTTGCACTGCCTCACATCCGGAAGCCAGAATGTTTTCCTGTTGTGTGAGTGTGACAGCTGTACTCATCTGGAGGCAATGTGGTACCAGACGGTTTGCAAGGGCAACACTTCAACATGCACTAGCTTTGGTTAGTCGGGCACAGCTCTGATACTTTTGATATGACAGTATAATTGATTTTGAATGTGGGTATTGTATTGTTGGCCCTTGCGCTGCCTCACATCCAGGAGCCAGAATGTTTTCTTGTTGTGTGAGTGTGACAGCTGTACTGATATAGAGGAATTGTGGTACCAGATGGTTTACAAGGGCAATACTTCAACATGCACTAGCTTTGGTTAGTTGGGAACAGCTCTGATACTTTTTCTATCACAGTATAATTGATTTTGAATGTGGGTATTATATTGTTGGCCCTTGCGCTGCCTCACATCCAGGAGCCAGAATGTTTTCTTATTGTGTGAGTGTGACAGTCGTACTGATCTAGAGGCATTGTGGTACCAGATGGTTCGCAAGGGAAATACTTCAATATTTGGATGTGTTTTATATTTTTGGCTCTTGCACTGCCATTGGTTGACAAATATTAATTTTTCCCTCTACCTCAATCTTGACTGATTCAGGAGTACTACAGTAACTCCTGCACCAATAAAAAATATAAACAGATGACAGGTGCCATCAGGATAATTTCAGAATGTGAATTACTGTTTATCCACTATTCCAACTCTGTTCCAGCCACCTGTAGTACACAAAGGTTCCATTTTTACTGGGTTTAATTGTGTAGAGCTGAAGCAGCATCTGAGCAGTGATCAATGTTACATGATCATGATGTCACCTGTCATTTGGTAAACAGTCATTTTTACTGGTGCTAGATACATCCCAAATTGTGATGTCACTTGTTGTGGCAAAAAAACTCTGTTTCATTGGTAACAAAAAAGGTCCATTTTTCATGGTTTGAAGTAGAACTGCAGCTACAGCAGATGATTTATCAATAGTGCTTGAAATACTCTTTTGTATAGTGAAATTAATTTAATATTCCTGGTGCTAGACACAGTCCCAATTATGAAGGCACATTTTATTTCAAAAACAACAATGTACAGTGGGTGGACCGTTATTTTTGGCTGCTTGTTTTGGATTCTACAGCTTGAAAGCACAAACTTCAAGTCACAAGACTTGGTGAATTTGTGAATAGGAGTTCTGAGAAAATGAATATGAAGAAATCAAAACAAAAAACAAAGTTTCAAAATTTGTGAAAAATAAAAAATAACAATGGTTTTTTTCCAAAAGCTTTGTTATTGATTTTGGGGGAGTGGGAGTGCTGGGAAAAGGAAATAATGGAACATGGCAAGAATGATTATGAATGAAAAAAATTGGAACCAAAAAAGGGTGAGCCAGGTTGGCTGTCCAAATTGGATCCAAAACAGTAAATTCTAGTGCTTTACTACAATGTGAGCTGGTGAATGCCCTACTCAACAGCTGTTTCAAAACCAACTGGTAACCATTTGTTTAGAATTTTCATTTATAATCATTCTTCCCATTTTCCATTCTTTCTTTCTTCCAACAATCCCACTCCCCCAAAATGAATATCAAAGCTTTTGGAACAAAAAAAAACATTTTTATTTTTCATTTTTCACAGATTTTGAAACTTTGTTTTTGGTTTTTATTTTTTCATATTCATTCTTTTGGACCAATTCTACACCACTTCACCAATTCTTGTGACTTCAAGTTTGTGCTTTGAAGCTCTGGAATCCAAAACAAGCAGCCAAAAATAATGGTCCACCTACTGTACAACCTGTTGTTGTATCTCACTACATATAATTTTTAGTGGTGGGGAACAGCATATATTTTGCATTTTTTACAAAACGAATCAAGAGTAAAAATTAGGCTGAAATGGTTTATTTTAGCCAAAAAAATAAAAATGCCTGAAATGACCTGCAAATCAATTTTGGAATGTATGACGGATTTTGTTTTGGCTAAAATAGCTCATTTTAGCCTAATTTTTCCTCCTGGTTCATTTTGACATAAAAAAATGCAAAAAATACTGTTTCCCACCACTGAAAATGCTTTTATCCTTGGGGAAAATTAGGGAATTTTTGTAGTGTAGATTAATAAAATTGGATGTTTCATTGTCAAAGAGAGAGGTAATATTGGAATAAATGGATGCAGTTCACATTGTGGATCTGGACAGTTTTCTGTGTTACATGTGTGGAACAGTCATATACCAGAGGGTTTATTCTTCATAGCATGTAAATTCTTCACATGGATATCAATAATTAAAGCTGGGCTCTTGTATCTTTTTTGGAATTTCAAATCATCCCTTGATGTAATGTAGATTTGGGCTGATTCATTTTGGATTTCATGTGTGTTTCTATTTTTCCACCATGTCCCATGATTTTCCTATTGATTCATTATTGTATTTGCATTCATTACCTTAACCCCACAGTCTGAGCTCATGTATCTGGTCTATTTAAATTAGTCTGACACATGTAATGGAGACTAGGGGGACGATAATCATGCTTCCCAGGCCCTATTGGGCACACACACCTGGACACCTCTGAAAAAGGTGTGTGTTGACCTCCACTCCCCTCAAAAGGTGTGTGTTTGGCTGCACACCTCCTAATCAGAAATCATGTGAAACCAATGATTTGGGGGTGGATGGGCAACTTCAAAATTTATGGAGTGTAATCAAGGGTACAAATGAGGGTTAAATGGGACTCAAAAAAGGATATACTTGTGGGACCTGTTACTGCTATTAGTCATGCATTGCTATTGTACGGTCAATGTTTGAATAGTTTTGATTCTATCAGCTAAATTCTGCTTGGTGTAGAAAACCTGCACCCCCAATTCTTTCCTTTATTGAAACTTCTGGGTGATCAAGTTTTATTGTATGATATTTATCTACATACAACTAAAAAAAATAGGCTTAGAGAGCCAAACAAACTGTCATGCAATCTAATGCCGGTGTTGACCTCCAATTCACATTTGTTGGATTTGTCAACGCCGGCGTTAGATCAAGGTAGACAGGTGTCCAACTCAAGAAAACCCCAAAGGTCATTGAGTAAAACCCCCAACATCCGGGGCAAAAACAAGCAGCCTCCCCAAATTTGGGGGCATATACTAGTCTACAATAAAAAAAAACTTATTTTCAACCTCTTGAGATCCAACAGTGGTTTTATATGATAAAATGCACTAAATAGCAAGTAGCTTGTTGGCCCCAAATTATTCCCTCTAATGTTGTAGTTTTAGTGAGCTGTAAGTAGTGCCAAAGCTGGGCCAGCTACGCTAACTGTAGCGTTAGTCTAGCATAGTGTAACAAAAATACACTACATTTTAGCATAGTGTTAGCGCAGATATGCAGATATGTGCTAACACTGCGCATGTGGGTGGCAAAAAAGGGCCCACTACGCTGTGCTTCAGCACATTTTAGCTGTTTTTATGCTGTTTTTGCCTCCAATAGCGCTGTAGCGCAGCGTACGTAGTGGCACTAACAGTGTGCTAACACTACAGGTTTGGCGCGCTGTTTTGAGGGCCTCTACACTAACGTTAGTGGGATGCTTAGTGTAGCGGCTCAGCATTGATAGTGCCACACTCACAGTATACCATGTTACATACAACACTTTTTGCAAATAAAACCCACCTAAAAAGTGGTACAATGCTGTGTAGATGCCATAGATTGACATCTATCATCATATGGTCATTGGGTTAGCATGATAGCACTCATAGCTAATGGAAAATATATGTCAGCCGGCAAGTAAAAACATTCTACCCCTTAGATAGTTTATTAGTTTTTACTACACCATCTGCAGCCTCTCAAAGTTTCACATGCATTTCACTGGTTATTTTCCATTTCAATACTTTCATTTTCCTTGTTATTAGCATATCTTACATGCTTGTATCTAGTTACACTCAGATAGAGCTTATAAGTTGTACTTTCTGATTCTCTTGTTCCCCAGACTTTCAGAAGAGACGAAAATAATAACAACCTTTTATTCCAAATCATTCCTCTTGAGTTTGAAGATACATCAACAAATCACTACTTCAAACTTGCCTGTTCCCTTCACATCACCACATCACTGTCCGGAACTCTCAGCCTGAACTTCTCAAAAACTTATCAACGGCTTGGGCGTGAACACCGTGGACCGGATTAGATCTTTCTTCGACTTGGAGCCACTGGACAACTCCAGTAAACTTCCATCGAGCGGATCTCATCACCTCGGAGTAACCCACCCTTGACAATTGGCGACCACCCCTTATACCTGTACACCTGGACAGCCCTGTGCAGACGGAACCCTCGCTTTACGAGGATTCATCCTTTTTTTTTTCAGTTTTTTTTAAGAAGAATAAACTCTGGTTCAACCTTGCGGATTAACACAGATAAATCATCATCGTCTTGGTATCCCTCGTCGTTTCTTGGTCATCAAGCCGGACGACAAACATCTCTCCCATCTCCTACACTCTTCTCATCTTTTCATCAAGCATTATTTCTGGACCAAACGCATCGCCGGGTATCCCTCTGAACCAATTGTGGTCCAAACTACGGTTCTCTTTTGGAATCATAACTCAATCGGTCATCACTGTTTCTCTCTGGTCGTCGGTTAATCCCTTTTGATTACAATGTCTGATATGTTAGAAGTCAATGTCCTCCGCGAGGAACTCACCATCTTACGGACTCGGCTAGAGACCCTGGAAACAAGAGTGGCAACAATTCTTCCATCTCATGTTCAACTACCAAGTCTCAAACTTGCAAAAGCCAAGGAGAAGCCGGAGGATATCAAGGAAACGATCTCGCCAAAGTCCTCGGCTCAGCTCATGAATCAAAGTCATGGAACCCTTCGAAGCCGTTCCTTTAAGGTGATGAGACATCTCATCAGCGTGGTGGATGTCTCGCGTGTTGAAGATGTTGTGAGGAAGACCAAGAAGCCCCTGCCTAATCTTCAAGATCCGGAGACCTCGCTAGCTAAAACGATCAGGACAAGACCTCAGCAAACGAAGACAAGTCCTTGTTCTAAGTCCGACTCAGATGTTCAGGAGCTCGGAAGCAATGTTGAAAAGACACACACATGTACATCGTCAAAACCTATGAAAGCATCACCGGACAAGAAGGCAGTGCCTTGTTCTAAGTCCGGTGCACCTCGTGTATATCATCCTACTTTCTAGATTTGTACTGCAAGAATTCAATCAATCCTTTTAAAAACTGAAATCAAATAGAAATTTCAAGGATTTTTGCTTGATCAAGAGGAGCTTCCAGGATCATACTGTAGCAGTTTATTAAAGTAGAACCTTGTCAGCCTACGTGATGCCAAGACACAAGATCTTCTAGCTACACGTGGTGCAAGAATAAACAAAAGACTTGTAGAGTTTTGTTTTTAATTTTAAAGGAATAAATTCCAATAAAATAGGGGAATTTATGGGTTTAATTTAAAGAGAAAATTGGCTAATTTATATCAATAAAATTAATATAAATTAAACCAGAGGGGCCTGATAAATCAGGAGTGGTTTAGATCCCTCTAAGGTATTGTGCAAAGGCAGAGAATTTAGGTACCTGGTACACTGGGGCCTGTAAACAGGGGTGGTTTATATCCCAGGATTTTATTTTAAAGGGGAAAATCTTCAAGAAAGGGTTATTACTTACTAGTAATAATCCTGTAAGGTCTTGAGGATCTTCAGAGTAGAAACTGAGAAGTTGGAAGCGCTCAAAAAGGTGGATTTTGGGTGCTGGGTGATCACTGGGGAGTTTCTTGAGGGTTCTTGAGGCTTAATAACAGCAATTGTAGTGGTAACTAGGCTAATTACAAGTGTAGGGGACTTGTAAATGGTAAGTAAATTTCTATAAGGTATTGTAAAGCTGGGGGATCATTATTTGGGCGGTCAGAAGGCCCTTTAAATACCTGTGGAAGGCCTCAGGGGTTGCTCAGGGGAGCTTAGTAGGTCTTGAGCGCGCTTTTTGGGCCATTTTGGCCCACCTAGAGACGTAACAAGGGCTGAAACCTTGGGGATAACATTCTAGAAGCTTCAAGGGGTCAAGAAAGAGTTTATTTGAACCAAGAATATTCCTTGGGAGCCTGTGGGTAAGGGGTAGTCTGTTACGTGGAGCCATTACCTTGGAAATGGGCCACAGAATGTGCCAGAACTGGTTTCTGGGGCTTGTTACACGTGCTACAAACTGGAAGATGGAATATCCAGAGTTACTGTAGTATATTCATGAATATTCTAGCTTGTTTATATTTTTATTACACGTGTGGGGGCTTTGTTGACACGTGCACAGTGAGTTTATGGGGCTTTGTGGCCCACTCCTTGGATACTGGTAACCCAGAGGGGGTTATGCATGTATCCAAGGCGGGTAGGCATACCTAGTACGCGCGGGGGCTTGAGCCTTGGGCTCAATTGTAGTCAGGCACACCTGTCAACAGTGCGCAGCATGACTACGCGGCGCGCGGGCTTGGAGACAATACACGCCACTCAACTCTAAGACCATCTCCACCCCAAAGAGGCATCCAAGTTGGTATACTTACCAGCTCGGGAGCTGTGGCGTGCGGATAGCAACCCTGGGAAAAATTATTTTCCACCGCAGGTTGCTATCCTCAATGCCTCGCGCGTGAAAGGCTAGTCGATAGGGGGGGGGAACTCCGGATTTCACCAGGATTGACCTGTGAAACCGTTGGGTTGGTATAGCGATTGCACATCTAGCAACGCTATACCTCCCGAGGGGGGGAAAACTAAATTTACCTCCCCTTTAGCACCCCCGGTGGCAGGGGAATTTTGGGCTTGGGGAGGTAAATTTGGTTTACAACCGCAGTTTACCTCCCCGGGTGGAGATGGTCTAACTTCTAAACTATACACAACACTCCAAATCTGGGACAAGATTTGGAGTATATGCTTATTGTTATGTGTAATGCATAATTATTCAGGTGTCCGTGATCCATGGGTACCTGTTAGTTCTTCAAGTGAGTATTACTGGATGAAGGAGTTACAATTAGGGGTACCTTTGGCTGAGGTACCCTAGGTTAAATTGTATGTAGATTCAGAATCTGCAATAATAATCATATATTTCTGTATTATTCCTAATTTAATTATATTTTTTATGTGTTTTTATATTATTTATATAAGTAATAGTGTTTATTTTACTTATGTAATATTTTTACTTTATACTTAGATTTTTTTATGTAATTTATTATTTTATTTGCTCATGACAGGTTGTCTCTGCCATAGTAGCAAGCTGACAAACCTGTCCTAACCCATGGCCATACCCAATGGTAAAGCAATTTTTCTATGGTTTAGGACAGGTTATGGCTTTGGAAAGTAAACTTTCTTGACCCATACAAACACCCATACCTGTCCAAAATAGGGCCATTCATATGTGTGCATATACAAGAGACTAACCAGAGCTTGATGTGAAGAATGAATCAATTGAAATGTGTTGTGCCTTTTTGAGATAATTCTCATCATTTTTTGTACTGTATCATTCAAGCCTATTCTCAAGTTTATCAGCCAGAGGGGAGTTGTCATGATGTATTCATTTTCCAGGCCTGGAAAATTATGGGTTTGGAGAGGAAAGATCCAGGCCCTGTTTGGAAAACCTCGTTATACGTCATAAATTTTAAGCTTTGGCGCGGAATTGTGTTATATCTATTTATGTTGATATATATAGGTTGTGCAATTTAGCGCTGAGTCTTAACATTTATAACATATAAGTTATAACACAGTGTCCAAACCAAGCCCCAGTTTTTTGGACAAAATGGTATGGGTTACATGGGATGACAGGTTCATGGGTTAAGCCCCCTTCTTTGGCTGTAACAAAATTGGTTAACCCTAAATCCTATGGGTTTAGGAAGGTTATGGATTTTAGCAAGTATGGGTCAGGACAAGCTCTACTGTATTTTGCTTTATACCAATGATTTCCTCTTCTTTTTTTTTCTGAAACCCATGCAGACAGACAAATATATAAATTATTAAATTGTAAACTTTCATGCATTGAAGGTTTCATAAATTTGTTTTCTGCTTCCTCAAGAATGATGTAATGAATTTTCCAAATATCATTCAACATGAATGATAAATCAAACTTTCTCCAAACATTCTTTTTGTACATTCATGCACAGAAAAAAAAATGCTCAATGGAAGTTCAGAATTTTCAGACCAAGGTAATTTGAAATTTGTTTTAAATTAAGTTTTTTGTTTGTTGATTAATCAAATGATGGCAAAAACATTGTGTACTTTTCTAGGATAACATGAGCTGAATAATTGAGGGTGATCAAAGTCATTTTGAGGCAACAGTAGTACTCCCTGGCCTTAATCCCCTTGAGTTTGCCGTGAAAATATTTTTGATTTTTTCATCGAGAATAGCCTTGTTTGTTGAGTCATAGATAATCAGTTCAGGCCAATTGTCTGGGTTTGTAAGCTTGGATGAAGGAGACTGAAGGTACTGTTCAACAGGGTTATCATTGTCTTCATCTTCGGTCCCATGCGGGGTTGCTTCCAAGCTTTTGGTGGAGGCTTCTCCGCCAGGCGCATCTTATTATCAGAAGTGAACCGGAACATTTGTTGAGTGATATCAGCCAGATGGTCAATGTTGTAGCATTCATCTTCAGCAAGTTATATTACATGATCGGCTCACGGGACAAGGCTTCTGATCCGTGATACTCGTCTTCATTCTGATGCTCATCTCCCGGCGCTTTAGATGCTGCTGAATCCGTCATAGAAAACCGACCGCAATGATGTCACTCAGATAACCCAGTATTGACGCAAGTATCATCAGCGAGTTTTCTATGTAAAAACGTTTAGCTCACGGGGGAAGACGTCGTCTAAGATGCGATCAAACTCTTTATCCTCAGCCTCATCATTCACCACTGTGCACGTTATTGAAATCGGTATTGATAAAGCCTATCAGTCAGATAGTAGCGCTCATCATGAGCGAGGTTAATAAGGGTTCAACTCACCTGAACTCGTTCCTGATGACTGATTCGCCTCAGCCTTACTGATCACATGCTTCCAGATCATCTTTATCGGCTCCGAATCGGAATTGGAGCCTGCTGGGGAGCTCAGTCGGGTAGTCAGTGTTGGACTTTTAGTCACTCATGAGATTCCTATGTTTGTGATTGGCTCACGGGAATCGGTTCCAGATCTGATATCGGTCTCCCCAGCCCAAGCTTCCTCTTTCGGTTCTTTGGCTGTTGCTGAATCCAACATTGACACAACCGTTACAGGGATTATAGGAGTCAGATATCTGATATCGACGCGTTTAACATCGGTGAGTTTTCTAAGTGGAAGGGTAATTGGCTCACGGGAAGACGCTTCTGACATATGACCGAACTCCACAGTCGGAACCGCACCCGCCCCCGTGCTAAGGATTTCTTGATCTGATATTTACGAACCCGTCACAGCGATATCAGGCAGATAGGTAGTCTTGAAACGTCTAAAGTTTTCTGTGTAAACACGCGACTCGCTTACCGGGAAAGGCCTCTGGGAGATTAGCTGCCTCAGGAGCTTCTGGGATCGCCGTAGGTCTTTTAGACGATTCTACCCTTGGCTTAGTATCTTCAATAAGTGTATAATACAAATCGGTCAGGTAAATTGTTAAGATCACTATTGGCACCTCAAGCTGATAGAAGGATCTACTCTACACTCACAGCCACAACAAAAATCGCGCCATGGGGGGGTGGGGGCGCCTGTCAGAGGATCGATTAGACAAGATAGCTGAACAGCAAGAACAATGAGAGGCCGGATTGAAATAGCAGGCTTCATAATTTATTTGGCTACGAATGGAAGATTCAGGTTGATTTTGCAGAATGTTGTCAAAAAAGGAATATTATCAGATCCTAGAGGCAAATGAACTATATGAATCAACAGGCTGTAAATCTGATAGATCTATTTATACCCTCGATTTGAGTACTCATGTTTGAGCGTTCTATCGGACTTAAGGTCTCGGGTCGCGTCGAGAAGCCGGACTGCTCTCTCTTGCGTGAGTGGAACAGTCCTACTGATCTGGAGGCAATGCTGTACCGGATGGATGGCACGCATAATACTTCAATATACATCAGATTTTGTTAGTCAGGTCCAGCTCTGATGCCTCTACTGTCGCGGTATCATAGAAGTCGGGTGGGAGCATTGCATATCCCTTCGGCCCTTGCACTGCCTGCTCCTGGAGGCTGGCCGGGTCGGCCAGTATTACTATTTCCTTCTACCTCAGTCTCGTCTCATGCGGAAGTATATTGGTGCAGCCGCTCCGGGATACAACTCCGCTAGTGATGGCACTTGTTTTGGCGAAACAACAATGTCCAACGTCTTGTTGTAGCTTGATATTTTGAAGGCGCAAGGTTGCGCCAGGCCAGGGTGAGGTCATTCGGCTTGTATGGATGCTGGTCACGGCGAGGAGCTGGTCTGTTTTCTGTGCCGCCTGTGTGGAACACTCCCAAACCGGAGGATGCATCTCAGGGTTTGGCTAGATCTTGTCTCATGTTAGGCTGAGGCTACCCGCTACAGCCACTCCGAAATGTGCACATACCGGCCCGCGATTGATCACACTTGTCATGGCGGCACAACAACAACGAATCCCTTTTGATGACGCATCATACCTTCAAGACGCCGATTGATGTCAGGGCTGCGTTCATCGGTTAGCTTTGATGTGTCGCAGCTAGGGTGAACCTAACCCATAGCCACTCAAACGGAATATGAAAAAATGGTTCGATTTCTTTTCCTTGATTTTGATTCAGCAAAACAGCAAGTGTTGAGTTATATTCTATTATTTTCAACTCTTAAATCAAATTTTTCTTCTATATCATATAAGTAAACATGTGATTTATGAGTACAAAATATAAAGAAAATCTATTCGGCGAGTAATAAAGCAAAAACCAATCAGAGATAAATCAGCTCATAATTGGATTTCATGCTTCAGCTGAAAGAAATTTGCAATAAATAGTAGATCATTTTGTATCCTCTAGTCAACTTATGCGAGGAGGGGAGTTGCAAAGCTTCTTCAATAATACTATCCAAAAAATTGGATATATTTGAAGACTTTCTGATCAATTTAAATTCAAGGCAGTATTTGCTAGAGGGATAGAAATTGATCAGCCAAAATCAATTTTATGAGATCAGAATCACAAGCGAAAATATAGAGATACCCACAAGATGCATGATTCCCTGATGCCAGATTTTTCCAAATGATTATATGCAAAGTAGCGGTTTTTCAAAAGTAGAAAGTTCTATACATCAGAAAAAAAAACACAACTTCATCCAAAAACCAAATATTCTCACCTTGATACGGAGTTACAACTAAATATTAATAATAGAACAAAAAATTAGCCTCAAGATGATAAATTGAGATTTCAAACTAAGAAAGAATGGAGAGAATGCCCACGATTAAATAAGTTAGTCTGGCTGCCTGAGTTTGGTCTTGGAAAGATCTGGCCATTAGGCATGTGAACTTGAGGCTTAAAGGAGCCAATAGCCAAATTGTTTTCTCCCATACCATCCATTATGTGGCCCATCCCAAGTGCACCTTACAGATAGAAGTGAGGGAGAAAATTCATTGGTTTCTTGGAATGATTATTGGATGTAAAAGTCAAAAAATAAATCTCAAAGTGCAGACCAGATGCTGTGTCTTCCTTTGAAGGAAATGGATAAGCTATATTTCCAATAGCATGGTTATTAAACCTACTTTGCATATAATCCACTGCAGTGGCTTGAGAGGCTGTAGCAGGCTCATCTGTCAAACCAACAATAATCAGTTTAGGGAAGGTTCTCAACATCAACCTTGTAATTAATGTAATCTGAAATCAAGGTAAATCTTGATAAAAATACCTACTTGTATCTTGAATCTGATGACTATTATATTTGGTTTCAATAGTTGTAGCAGTAGGGGCTACAAGGGTAGGTTTGGCAACTGGTTTGCTCAGAGAAGTCATACTAGGGTAAACTGATGAGTAGGAATTAGAGGTAAAATATAATAGTCAGTCTGGATATGATGCTCAGAAGAAGAAATTGATCTGGATTTTACTCACTTGACCCATTGCTGCCATTAGATCCTGACTCAGAAATTGGGTTGAAGTTATCTGACATATTCAACAGGGTTTCACATGCTGTTTTTTTCCAGTTACCACTAGTTTCTGGTGGAAAAAAGGGGATATAAGTTTCATGCTACCAAATGAAAGTCAAAGTAAGAATGAGATTATGTTACCCTGTGACACATCAGTCTTTGATACTTTCATATTAGATAGCTTGTTTAAGTTTAAATCAAGATCTTCATAAATCTCATTAACTGATGGATACATGTTGGGTTGTTGGCTGTCTGCCAATCCTGTCTGTCTAGACAGCTTATTGCCCAAATTCACTGGTATTTCATGCACACCATGGGGCAAATTAGAAACCACTGGAAACACAGGCAGATCAGATGGAGCTGCAAAGTTTGGCTGTGGTTTGATAACTGTTGGATTACTCTGCAGAGTGGAGGGATTTTCAACTTCTGCACCTGATCCAATTGATTTTGGATCACATGCTTCAAGGCCAAGAGAAAATCCAGTCAGTTGTATGTTTAGGATGAAATTTGAGGACTTAGTTCAATAGAAGAATCCACAATACCTCCACAGAAACAGCACTTGAGCTTCTCTATCATTGGGGCACCATTCAGTGCAGAAGACAGCCAACATAGGTGAATGGCAACAACAATGCACTGTTTTATGGAATTAGAAAGCTTCATTGTTCAATTGTGAATGGGAGGTTTGGTATGGGTTTCTTTCAGGGGTGAAAAATAAAAATAAAATGAAGGATAAAATTTTTTGAGAAGAAAAATCAGACCACCTGGATAGCAGAAACTATAATCTTTTACTGTTGAGGAGAGCAGACAGCCATCAGGTTTCATCAAGAGATTTTTCAAAATTCCAAGTGGGTCACAACAAGGTAGGTTTCTGATACTTTAGGTAAGAAATCAATACAGGCCTATGAGAAATATTCAGATCAGTCTTTTGTGTACCTTGTAGGAAGGTTTTAGGTCTTACATGTACTTCTCCTGCCGCCCAGTATCATGGAGGTTGGCTGTGAGCATGATCATATACAATAAAATATAAGCCACTGAGAAGTATTTAAACAAACTTGAATTGAAATCTAGTACCTCTGCTGTTACTTGGTGGGATTGAGGCCCACTCAAATTGTGGGGAGATCAAATTTTCTGTTTCCTTGCTGATCAATCATGTTTCATCTCATCAGAGAGCAATCCCAAGATTTCCTCCTTGGAATTTTGGACATACTTATGGTAGAGAACAGTCTGGATCTTACTTTCTGTGCAGCCAGAGTGCTCCTCCAGTATGTATTCAAGGACAAGCAAGCAGGAACACTGGTCATGCTAAGTGTTAGTCTGAAAAGGCCAACATAGTAGAAAAAAAACTTGATCAATTCCCTAGCTCATCACCAGCCTCTTACCTGTGTGACAAGAAACTAAAGTGTTATGTTCCACACTTCTGGGACTATTTCACATATTATGAATACTGTCCAAAAAAAAAAGCTCCCACCCATAATTCACGATTCCTGAGATTTTAAAATTCAGGGGCATTTCATATATCACTTGAAGTTGGGTCCATTTCAAACTTCTCCAAGTAGATGATTGTCTTCCCTTGATCAGCTAGAATTTCTAATTCCAAACTGAATTTCAGGTGAACATACAGGTTTTGGATTGCAAAATCAACTGGAGTTTCTTGAACACCAGTGCCCACCCAGGACACAGAAAAAAAAACTTTATTAGACAGCCAGCTCAGAAAAAAAATGAGTTTGTTGACCCAAAATGAGTCGAATATATAAGATATGAAGCCAATAAAAATTCTCCAAATTGACAAGACTACTTGTTTTTTCAACATTTTGGGGTAGCTTCATTCATTAGAGTAAGAATTCTTGCATGTAACTTTTACGGAATCAAGACAACAAAAAGTGCTAATAAACACACTATATTTCTGATTAACTCCAAAGATTTTTGGCTCATGATTTGAGGATTTCATGATGGAAAGAAATGAGAAAATTAGACAAATACAAAGATGAGGAAGCACTTCTACTTTTGGAAGACAAGAGGCTTCTATGTGATTAAATGAGAAATATTAACAGACACTATCTTAGTTTGGAATATAATCTTAGGAGATCCAATTGATCTACATGGACTTTTCACTTTCCCCCAAAGAAACTTCTCCAGCTAATTTCTTGAGTTTTTTCATGAGTATCTTCAGCATAAACTGGGTTATAAAAGAAAGTTGCATCTGGGAAAAAAACAAATAAATAGTGGGATTTACAGTAATTAGGAATAGAAGTGAGATTGAAATAAACAAACCATGTTTGGGACCCTGAAATCTGACCCTCCTTGACCTTCCTCTTGTTTCCCCCCCAACACATTGCACAAGCTCATGTGGATTAGGTCTGTGAATCCATTAAACAAAATGAATGCAAAGCAAAATTTAATCATAATGGGCAGATCAACAGCACTGAGGATGGAAACTGAAAAAAAATGTGCATACCTTGCTAATAAATCCTTTGAGGTGCTTTTCAGAGGAGAAACTTGATGACCTTCATTTGATTCTGAAATAGTGTTTGTAGACCTATGTCCACTTCCAGGATCTTTGCCACCAAATTAAAAAAAAGAAAAGTTCAGCACAGGGGAAGGCAAAAAGTGAGATAAAAAGAATGTACCTGAGGGTGTGACAGTCACAGCCTCTGATGGGTCTGGGACAAGTTTTCCTGACTTCTTACTATTTGTCCCTGTAGATTCTTACAATGAGAATGCGACAAACAATGGATGGATCAGTTTGCTGCTGCCTTATTGGATTTCAAATAAAGAAATAATCCAGAAAACAAGCAGAACCATACAAACCTTCTGAATTCATAAAACCTTCATGCGGCCAGTACTTACGATTCGCGCCCCCTTTTACTGAAGGAAAAGAAAGAAAAAATAAGCGTATATGTAATGGTGCTAATAGATGTGAGCAAGGCGGAGCACATACAACATGGCTTGATTCTGACATGTTTGTTTTTTGGACCTCTGGAGGCGCTCGATCCTGACGTTCGCCAGAATGCGTCAGCGAGATTGGCTTGATAATCTTTTTCCAACAGCACAGGATTCATGGGGGATTGAAGACCTTGTGAGACGCTCCCCGGCTCCAAGCTTGGCCAATCAGCACCTGCAAAGCTGTCTGCAGACCCACTTTCCATATCAAGCTGACGAGACATGCGGGGTTGTTGCTGGGGTGCAACCAATGCCTCTTGACTCAATGTGGGTGGCACAGGACGCTTATTATCCAGTATCGCGTGAGCTTCGATGGCCGCGCCAAGCCTGTGATCGCTTGGTTCCCTCCAAACTTCGGCAGGAAAATGGATATCATTCAGTTTTATGTCAAGAAGCATTGGTGTACCATTATTGAAAGCTAAGCCACAAGATGGGATGATCCATTGCGTACTCACACTTATGCAGGCAGCTGTACCTGGTACCTCTCGACGGGAAACACAGCCAAGACAACTGAATGGCAAGGACAATCGGCCATCGAATGGAAGCAGAAGACTTCATCTATATTTGTTGGGGTGCAATTTCGAGAACCGGTTTGGCTCTCTTGTGCAGGTAAGACAAAAAAGAAATGCAAATAAAGGAGTGTATCTCCCGAGCCGAAATCGAGTGATCCTTATGCCAATTGCTGATTTAAATGAACCAGGTATGATTGAGTCGGACTTGAGGAAAGGCGAGTCTTATATTCGAGTCGACATCCACGTGGGCAGCTGCAGCCGGACAGTTGAAATGCTTCTGACTTAACTAAGTCCCGCAGGCGGGCGGACCGCCTGCGGGACTTAGTTGAGTCCGGGTTTTTCTCTAACGCGTTTGTGTGGGCTGGAGAACGGAAGATCAGCTGTGCCAAGGGATTTTTAAAAAAAAACATGATGGTTGTGCAATGAGCTTTTAGAGCCCTTCGGCATCAGCCAAAGCCCTTGGGCCTGGCGGCGCAAACTGTTGCACGCGTGACCGATCTAGTGATCTTGCTGGTTCCTACGGCCTGCTCATTCTTGTCTGCGAGCTTAAGGCAGCCGGCGAAGTCCTCAATTCAGTGCAGTCCTCCGGCAGGGCTCTTGACGAGCTTGGAAAGAGAAGCTTCTTCCAGGCCTCTGGGTCGCCCCCGGCTTCTCGGCAGGTCGCGAACTCATCTTGAGTTAATCGGTCTCACTTCGGCAGATAATTCTTGAAGAGATAGCCCACAAAACTTGTTTAGATGCCGCAACACAATATGGTGCGGAGAAGGGGGAGTGAATACCTCCGCATACCTTTGATAATTGTGAGTGTCGGCATAGCGCCTCTGACTCCGCAGCCAATCATCTGGATTGGCCTGTGGATCACTAGACAAGGTAATATTGGCAGAGTTGAGAAATCTTAAAATAACCATAAATGTATGCGGTGCATAGCCGATCAAAGTGCGAATTCTTATAACCAAGATTCATGGATGCGTCCAGAAAGGGTGCACTTTGATCAGGGTAAAAATTCATGAAAACTAAGAAAAAAACGCTGTCAAGTACCGATGCATCATGTACCGAGACCATTTTCATGATTCTGTTCCTTTTTGTGTTTGATTGATAAGCTTGAGAGCGGCGATAAATTTCTTCATTTGTAGTTCGTGTGCAATGAGTCTCAGACTGTTATAAAGTTAGTATGAATAATGGGAGATGCCCCACTTGAGCTGTATGAGCTGGTCTGATTCAGCCTCCCTGAGTCCCTCGATGAGGCTCTGGATTGAGACAAGTTGTGGATTGTCACGAATGTATCCTGTGGCACAATAAGATAGGCTCTCCGATGGAACAGGGTGGAGTGTCCGTCGGAGCGGGTCACACGAGAGGATACCACAGGTTAGTTCACGAGTCGGCGCAGAATTTCGGACTCCCCGAGTGCATTTGTGATCTCCGGATAAGTTTTGGCTTCATCCTCCTTCATACCACAAGCACCCGCCACACCGACCACTGCACCCACGTTGGACGTCCCAGCAGAACCCAAGACACACAGCACTCGAATTTCGGCCCAAGACAGACAAACTCTCATTTCCTGGTCCTCAAGAGTAACCCACATCCGCTGATGACAGCCCGTAACAACCTGCCAGCCCCCCTATACTAGTCTGGACAACAACCGCACTACCCTTCAAAAAAAAAAAGTGCAGCGCCCCTTGAAATTCATGAACCACAACAAGCACATCATCAACTCCGAAACGCTCTCGTGATTCGACCGCTCAATCCCGAGTCCAACAAACGAAAAGAGACAAAATCACCCTTACCTCCCCAGTCCGATGGATGCCACAAACAAGCCTACTGATTTGAGTCCGCGAAGGAACGAGGAAGAAGACGATCTGCGCCAGGAGAGATTCGTTACAGAGGGCGGCTCGAGACGCCGGACAACCCAAGGACAGCAGCAGTACGACGGACCAGATGATGATGAGGACGATCAGCGTCGGCAGCAAGACGAGGCAGAAAAGGCTAGTCCTAAACAGTTCGGCGTACTCAAGATGGAAGCCATCATCGAGCGGCTCCGGGCCCGCTCAAGTCGCTGGGGCGTCCGGTCAATCTATATTGCGTAAGCCTCGGCTTACTCATCCCTCCTTCCTTCTTTTTTTTTTTTTTTTTTCATCTACATAACCCGTCCAGCAGTGCATAAGCCACTTCCGATCCGGGATTTCGGACCTCTGCAGGCAGCTTCAGGTTGAAAATCCGCCAGACCTACCCTTGGCCATCCCAGCAGACCTGACCTCCGCTGAATGTATGCGCATACATCCACCGTATCATGATGTATCTGGGTATCTCCCAATGAGCGTTATCTCAATCGATTGACTCCATCTCACTGGACTGAGCCTTTCAGACCGTCAGGAGCCAGAGAACATTTCTCTCGTGCTGTGTGGTTTTTTGATTCCAAGTCTGGACTTCTCACAACAATATTGACGAAATTCAATGATTTCCTCCTGGTGTGTTGGTTCCGTTTGGGCACATTCTAGGATGTACATCCTCTCGACGATTACCTCTACCGAAAATAACTCGCTCCCACTCATCGAGCCCTATTTCCTGAGTCTCTTCGGACATCACAGCTCACTGGCCACCGTGGGGATTATGACCAACGTATGTTTTTGCTTCTCATGCATCGGTATGTTGATGAAGGTCATCGTCGTCTAACTTGACCAAATTTGGTTTGGTCTATGTCCTCTCTAGATAGCTTTTGCCGTCGGGAAGCCTCCAATGAGTAAGATCATGGATGTCTTTGGAAGGGCCGAGGGAGTCCTAGTGGCGATAATTTTATACCTCGTAGGCAAGTCTTTTTGGCCCATTAATCATCACCAAAATCTGATTATTTGGGGGACACATTTATTGTTTACTAATCAGCAGTGAATCTGCAGGTGCTCTTCTTACGGCCTCATCCACAGGCGTGATTCAGTACGGCATTGCCCGAACTGCGGCAGCGTTAGGCTCACAAGGATTACAACTTTCACAAATGATCATTGTTGCCGACACTTCGTCGCTAACGTCACGGGCCCTACTGACCTCGACAATTACCTCTCCATGGATATTTACGACGTGGATCGGGCCTGTGTTTGGCTCCTGGTTCCTGTCTAAAGGCGCGTATGGCTACCGAGCGATTTACCTCGTTTTCGGTCTTGCGGTCCCGCTCTGCGCCAGCTGGCTCGTCCTCGTCTTGTGGCTTGAATGGCGCAAGCTGAATAGTGAAGCCAGCCGGCCCTCCCGTAGGATCTCCCTCCCCACCTCCGACCACGACCAGGAAGACCAACCTGGGGGAATCTGGAGCCCCCCAAATTCTCCTCATGCAGTTTTATACAGCTCCCGCTCTTCATCTACTAGCCTCTGGTCAGAGGCTTGGGAGCAGCTTGATTCTGTCGGACTCGTCTTGTTGACTTTGGGATTTGGACTACTACTGCTACCGCTCACTTGGTCGGTGAAAGAGCCCGGTGTTAGCTGGTTTAATGGTTTGTTTATTTCTCTTCCTTTTATCTGGTCAAATTGCCATCTTAGCGCTAGAGAAATTGACTTGGCCTCAAATGTTGTGTGGAGCTTAGTCGAGAGATGTACCTTCTTGATCCTTGGTGCTATCGTCTTGGTTTGTTTCGGAGTCTATGAAAGTAAATTCGCAAAGTTTCCAGTCATACCTCCACGACTATTCGAACAACGCACAGTTCTCTTGGGTTCGGGCGTATGCTTTTGGCATTTTATATGTCAATTTACGTATGAGAGCTACTTCACCAGTTTCCTCCAGGTACGGCTCTTTCCACTCGGTTTACAGGGCATTTATCGCTGGAATAGTTTCTGGCCTTTGGTTGATCTTGCGATGTGATATTTCTTAGGTGGCCAGGTTCCTATCTGCCCGGGACGCACAGTACGTCGAGCGGTCCTACCTCTTCACCGCCTGTGTTTCAGCCATTATTTGTGGATTGCTTGTCAAATGGACTCGACGATACAAGATCTGGCTGGTTAGTGAACTTACCTGGTCTAACTTACCTCATGTTGCCACCTGATCAAACCATGCTAACCCATTTGACTATTGAAGGTTGTCGGGATTTTGTTCCATGCAGTCGGAACACTTTTGATGGTCCGAAGCCGCAAGCTAGATAATCCAATGACAGAGATCGTGATTTCACAAGTAATTGGCGGCTTCGGGGGAGGCTTCACGACGCTTGCCTCCCAGCTCGGGGTACAAGCAGTGGTGGCACACCAAGATGTAGGGATCTCGACTGCGGTCTTTCTGACGATCACTCAAATTGGTGGAGCAGTTGGTTCAAGTCTGGCAGGCTCAATCTGGACTTCACGACTGGAGTCGGCGCTAGCCCAACGACTACCCCCATCAGAGCAGAGCAACATCCCCAAGATCGTCGGCGACTTACGCTTTGCACTCACCTACGAGGGTGAGAACAGGACACACATCAACGAGGCCTACGTCGACGTCCAGCGCATCCTCAACTGGCTTGGTGTCTGGGCTCTCGTGCCCTGTTTGATATGCGCCCTTTGCATGGAGAACGTCAACCTCGACTCTAAGGCGCCTAAGCGTAAAGCTAAAGAAGGACACCCGCAGCAGGACGATAACGATCATTTGGCCCATCGCGACTCGAATGTTTCTGCTGAGAATGCACCCTTTTTAACCCGTTGGTGCAGTCTTTTCTGTCATCTCTTCTCCCTTCCACCAACTCTTCTCATCAATAACAAAACCTAACCAATCATTTGATGACCAAAAAAAAAAACAAATCTCAAAATTTTCAGAAGAAAATGAAGAGGAATGAAAAAAAAGATATATGTATACAGCCAAAATCCCGTTTGTTTAGCATACGATATTTCACTCTCCTATCGATCATCGACCGAGCATGTCCATATTCCCTTCCGAAACACCACTGGAAGATCAGTTAAATCACACCGTCAATCCGATATATACCTGATCGTTCACTTCAACACACACGACCTTCTTCTATTTAGTAAACAGGACCCGATGTTTCTTTTTGGCAAAGTTTTTACACCCGGCTCTTCTTTGCATACACACGCATCTCGTCCGCTCAGATCTCTACTCCAATCACTCGTCAATCACTTGCTTGCAATTCGGCATTGTATTAACACGCTTCTTCCTTGCCCGTTCCCCCCTAAATCATCTCGTGGTCTGAAGGTTTCGTATCCCCTCCCCTCTCAACTGGCTTGTCTCCCTCTTTCTTCCCCAACTTCTCTCAGACTCATACCTTGACTTCATGTTGTAGCTCAATCATATTGCTAGTTTTTTCAGATTGCACGTTTTGATAAACTAGCTATTGAGACAGGTTTTATATGGTTTGTACTAGTGTGAGAGCAGAAGGAAGAGAGTTGGCTTGATCTTGTTTTCAGACTCATTCTAATCCAGCCTTGTTAGTTTGCCATGTTTCACAATCCCACCACTTGGTTCTAGGCTTTTGCTGTGTACTAATTAGAGCTTTACTTTCCTTCCTCATTCTTGGTTGCAATGTCTATTTATGTAGGAATCCTTCTCCACTCACTCTCTCACATACTCACATGTCTTTATACAAAATGTACAATCATGTGATCTCATTGATTTTTTCTTTTTCTTTTTGCTTGCAAACTCTCTCATCATTTCTTTTTGGTTGGCCTTTTCAGCAAGGAAAGAAAGATGTTGCGTGGATTTTTAGCATGGAAGAGATGTGCAAATTACATCAGGAAAGAAAAAGTTATGAGGGTTTTTTGTGAGATGTCATTGTGTTGGGATTTGTTTGTTGGTCCATGACATTGAGACCAGAGTACAATATCTTCCTCAAACCCAGGACGATTCTCCACACCGCAACAACTCAGACGATATACGCTGTTCCAGAGGCCAGTTGCCAGACAAATCAAGCCCCCAAATTTGGTGTCTGTCTTGGATACAAATTGCTCATCTTGGGATGAATTTGACCAGATTTGGTGGAGGATGGGCTATTCCAGGGCCAGGGTTTGCTCTTGCTTTGCTTCTGTAGTACTAGATAGATAGACAGCTCGAGGAATTCACAGGCACACATTTTGGAAAGAGAGGAAGAGAAAGCGGAGAGGGATAGAGAGAGGAATGAGATGGTGAAGCTTCAGGAAATCCAGTTTGATGGAACAATCAGTTTGTTTGCACTTGACTTGCTGTCTCTGTATGTATGCACCCATCCTCAAAAATGAGTTAGTGCAAACAAACTGATCATTGCGTCAAACATTCATTTCCTGCAGCTTTGCCATCTTATTCCTCTCCAGGTTCTCTTCCTCTCATTCCAGAATGAGTGCCCGTGAATTCATTGAGCTATCTATCAATCTACAGAAGTGAAGCCGAGTCCAAACCCAGGCCTGGAAGTAGCCCATCCACCGCCAAATTGGGCCCCTTCAAATCCGTCCCAAGATGAACAATTCGTATCCAAAACAGGCACCGAATTTGGGGGCTTGATTTGTCTGGCAACTGGCCTCTGGAAGAGTGTATATCGCGTTTGAGTTGTCCTGGTGTGCAGTATCGTCCTGGGTATGAAGACACCCTCGTCCTCAGGTCTCCAATGTGGACCTACCAACAAATTTCAACACACCTTTTCAAGTAAGAAACATCCTCTTACAGTAGATTCACATTTTTTGAAACTTACATATTGAAATTCTTCTTATTTGAGGATGGCACATACATACACAAACAGCAAGTCAGGATCCCTGGAAACTTGATCAATACTTTCCCTGAGGATGCACTGTCTGGTCCTGATCCAGAAGCTACATGGACGGTCTTGGTACAGGCCTAGCGTATACATCCATAGACCTACCAAACAATTGAGATTCCTGCCATATGAAGTTGAACTCAAACGACCAATGATCATCATGATGAGATGTCTTAAAAGATGAATAGAGTAAAGTCTCCTGGATGTGACTGTTATTTTTTTTTTTTAAAGAATGTCCTCACACAAGTGAAAGACGGAGCACGAATGGCAAGAGTCGCGGCATTATTGCGGGGCAGGGTAATACGGCTGCCATCGATGGATTCTCTCAGAGGCAAGTGCAGATGCGATGGTAGTTGGAGACACAGCAAGCTGGAAGGGATTGCTGTCACTCAATGGGTCCAAGGAATCGGTGGTTTTGTGGTGATAGAGTGGTAGATATATATCTATGGTTTGGCTGTTTCAGTTTGGGAAGAGCTATCTGGACACAAGAGATCGAGGGAACAGTGTAAAAACGGGGAGCGCGGAGCATGCTATGGGCAAGAGCATGACGCAGAGATTTGGTGAGGCGAGCAGGGAAAGGGTCGTGATATGAGGGCGTCAGGACGAGCGTTGGATCATGATGAATTGAGGAACCTCATGGTGGTCTCGAAGGCGGCGAAGGTAGCCCCGTTGACGAGAGGAGATCTGAGCCGGGCCGGAAGATCAAACAAGAGAAACAATCACGGTCAATCAACAATGGAGGGGAAGATGAAAGCGAGATGTTGGACTGACCTGATCAGGGTCGGCGTCAGGCCGCGCAGGAAGCCCCGATAGCCTTCATTGACATATATCTTCCGGACACAGTCCAGGATCCCGAAGTACTTTCTTGAGCCTGATTGGGACGGTAAGCCGTCGGTCTGGATCCGGGTCTTGATTTGGTCTGTCAAACATAGAAAACACATGAGTTATTTCAGCTCCTCAGTTGAAGCTGAAAGAAAATTGGTTTAACATACCCAACGGATAACTGCTCAACCACATCGAATATCCCGCTCCGGCCCTAATAGAAAATTTCACCCAGTCAAGCCCCGGACAATTGGCTGTTAGAAATCCAGCGCCGAACGTACCCGTATAGCATCGCCCAGCCGGTCCCGATCTCAGATCTCGAACAGTCCTTTAGCTTCATGTGTCGCTCGACGAGCCATTCGTATCCCAAAAAATACTACATCCATCAAACGATGGTTTTTTTTGGGATCTTGTGAGTAAGTGATGATGGGTCTTTCAAGTTGAGAGTTCACAGATAAAGTCTTACCATTCCGTAGCCATGGAATTCACTTTCATGAGCGAAGGATCATGGTTGTTAGGAATTGGGTCAGCGAAGGAGGAAAAGATGGGGGGGGGGGGGATGTTTTTTCTTCTGCTCACCGGGCAACGGTGATCAATTGGCCGCAATAGAGGCCCCGAAGGATGCCGTCTGAGCGGATGATCTTTTTGAGGGCGTCGCCCGGGCCGAGGAAGTGGTTCAACTGGGCTGGCGAGGAGGAGGTTTGGAGACGGATCCTGATGTGTTCGACCGGGCCTATGGGCAGGATGATTGTTAATAGAGAGATAGGACCTTGTTTCCATATACATTTATCTGGATGAGTGGTCCGTCGATAGACTTGCCTGAGATGATCGAGTTGCCGACTCCCGCTGCCGCCCCTGAAAGATACAGCTGCCCTAAACTCAGCTGAGGACCGTTCCCGTTAGCCAGGTTTCGCTCTCTGGATTCAGGTTCACATCGAAGTAACAGAGTCATCAATCACCACAACCATACCGCTTTTCTCTAGTAGCGTTTTTATTCTCTCTCAAGAAAGAAAATGACAAAGGGGGGGTTGCTGTGCTTACTTGAACGCCCGCTTGGAGGCCTCCAGACAGCCGAATTGGATCGAAACGCACGCCCCGATCCCGATCAATGGAAGCGAAGTACCTGATTGACAACGGATCTGGGTTTAGAAAGATGATGATGACCCTTATCAAGAAGAAGCTATTTTGAGAGCCGTCGAGACTGACCTTTATAAAAACCTGAAAAGCCTTCGTTGCGACTGATCTGGATGGCCGCATCGGACATGGACTTGTATTGATTACTACTCTGCAATCGAACCTACATGAGACCACAAGCGAGCGAAAAAAAAAAAAAGATTAGATATGAAGTTGTTCTGTTTTTGCAAGGGATGTATTTATTTGAAGGAAGACTGAGATTTCTGATACCTTGATGATATCGAACGGTTGGCCGGCCAAGACCTGAGTGATCCCGCCGATCGTCCCTGCGAACAAGTCTTTATAGACCTGATTACTGTTAGAAGCCGGCGTCGGTCTGGATGAGTCGGTCGGAAGGGACTCGGCTCCCATCGGTGCGGATTGCGATCGGGGAGGGATGGATCGAGGGGGGCGGAGGAGTGGAAAGGTTAAGTAAGCCGCTCTTTCGGAATGTATGCGCCTTCCTCAAAACCCAACACCATTCTTGAATGTCACACGATCATCCTCCGTTCGGCTGCCGAGCCGGGGCGCGGCTGAGCTCGCTCCGGCTGATCGGGATTCGGGAGACAGATGACGATTGATCAGAAACCTTCAGAAAGCCGAGCTCCGGCAGGATCTGGGACCCATTCGACCCGTACATCCTGCAGAATATGTACTCCGACGACCCCAATCCGACCGATTCGGATCAGGCCAGGATGCACAGTGCTGGTGCCAGATCAGAGATGAATCGATTATTCACCCCCAGTGTATCAAAAGCACCAGAACACTGCCAACAACTCATGCCCCGAAAAGCTCACGCTCATGAAGATGATCCCATGACCACCCCACTTGTCTTCTGAACCAATCCACTTACTATTTTCGATTCTTAATTCTGCCATACTTCTTTCCTTTATGTCTGTGTGATGTCTAGATAAAGATCTTGTTTTCAACTCTTCTTGAAGGTAGATTTCTTTATCTTGACGCTTGCTTGTCATCAAATGGTCGTAACCGTCACTCATCCGTCTCCTCACATACAGCAACGATCTATCTCATCCGAAATTCACACCTTAATCAAATGAGGATGCGCCAGGAAGAATATTTTTGGAACCAATAAGATATATTTCACCGTTGGTGAAAAAGCTTTTTTTTGGGGGTTTGAAGTCGATCCAAGTACAAGAATATAAAGAAGGGTGAAGGTTTCAATCACATTTTCCTTCAGCCTATGATTGGCCTGGATATCAGACCCACAGCAGTCGAGAGAGTGTACCGGATCCTCCTCGTCCACCAGCTACCCTTGAGACTCATCTTTTCGGCGCACAAACTTGGGAGCCAGAACGAACCTCGCAAAACTTAAGACTAAAATAGATACCAAAGGGGAGGGGAAGAAGGACATGAATCGAGAGCGAGTTTTGGTTTTTTATGGGAAAAAAAAGGAAACACGTACACCGCAATATTGCAAGTCTCTTTCGACAGCCCATTAGCTCTGGTACATTTAGGCTCGACACCTTGGGGACAGTTGCAGGTCGGCGTGATGGAGTAGATTGCACTCCAGGCACCTGTAGAAGAAAGATGATTCATGGTCAGTTAACAGGGGGCTCCGGAGAGTCGTCGATAGATATTCACGGACGCGTACCGTTCGAATATCTCATCATCTTCGATCCCTTGCGCGGAAGCGCACACGACTTGGGCCACTCCTTCGCCGAGATCTCGTCTCCCCCTCCATAGACCATCGCAGTCTCCTGGGCGGTGAGGAAGGAATAATCCGGAACACCCTTCGATTTTCGAACAAGACAGATCGCACCCAAAGGGGAAAAACCAAGTCAATATTTCAAGTTCTCCTTGATTCTACTTGAGCAATCAAAAAAAAAAAAAACTGACATAAGAATCGGCTTTCTGGGGACATGAAAACCCTTTAGACGGCCATCCGGAGTCCATCATCGAACAGGCACCCGAGCTCGGACACATCTCTGGCATCACTCGGGCATTGGCCTCGTAGGTGCCATCGATGTAATCTTGGCCACGTTGGGGGCGGGGGATGCTGTCGTAGTTGGTCGTCGTCGCCCCGTGCACCAGCGCTACAGTAGTCGACACGAAAAACAGGACTGCTAAAGACTTCATCCTTGGGGGTCGTGGTTTGCTACAAACGATCACGCTATCTTTTGTTCTTCGGTTATTTGTTTACAATCTGGGAACAAGTCGAAGTAATTTCAATGTTGGCGGATAGGTTTCTTCGTGATGAAGTGGGAGGGATTTGGAGGGGAGATGCTTCTGGGGGGGAGTGTAGAAAGAGAGAGAGAAAAGTATGTAAACGAAAGACGCGATGAGTGAAAGGGTGGGTGAGCAGGCGGAGTAGATTTGGAGGCCAAAAAGCCTCACGAATTGCGGAGGATAACAAAGGCAACTTGTTCACTCGATCCTCTACATGTTGACCCACCACTTCATCTGCTGCAGACCTTCCTCATGAGTTACCTCTACATAAAAATTGCGTACATATTTTTTAGGGGCGAAAATTATCGTGATCAACTCCTGCTCCACAGGGGCACCGAAGGGAGAGTCATCCGCAAATCCAATCGAAAGTCGAAAGCATTCTACAATGCACTCAGATGCACTTATTTATTTACACTAATAAATACATAAATAGCATGTCTCTCCCGAGTCTATTTGAGCTTAATGGAGTTTAGGTGCTTTTTTGGTCCTCCCGTGGGTCAAAGTGCTCATGCCATGGCCGCCCCCAAGTGGCAAGCTGATAATAGTGCATATCAAAGGGTATCTCCGAATCGTGCGTGATTAAAAGGTCGCAGTAAGAGATTTTAAAAACTCTAATAAAAAAGGGGGGTGTTATGTTACTATGTAGCTTACAATCGTACATTATTAATTGAGCCGTGTGCAGCATGTCAGGTGGAGAGTACCTTGCCTTCATTACGATTGCTCACTTTCGCCCTCCACTCCTCCATGCCTTATGACCCACCTATAACAGCATGACCATTCACACATGATCCGCTGCTCCAATGTTTAAAGGGGCGGACTCATGCGTTCATCAATGTACCAGGAGATGGCTCTGCAGCGGTGCACAACACTGGTGTACATCCCATGCGGTCCCGATGTAAGAAGACCCATCGAGTCTAAAAAACCTCTCTTCTCTCGTCTTCGCAATCCGCTGTCTTCCCTCTCAGAGCTTGGTATTCTTCCTCGGATCAGCACGCTTCTCTAACGGCTTTTATACCCGCTAGAGAAAAAAAAATATAATACCAAACATTTCGTGTTATTGTATCTCCATGTATTTTTAAAGATTAAAAATGGAATGCAAAAATAGAAAAAATCTGATCAGGGATCACATGTTTCTTTTTCAATGAGCACCTGATTCCCCAAGCCCTCACTCACTTTTTCACAAGTTTGATGATAGAGAAATCTTGCCGCCCCGCGGTGATGATCTAGGCTATGTTCTCCGTGGCCTGAGCGTTTGCTATCTCATGATCTTGGGAGTATTTTCAACACCATCAATTTCATTGCATTTTGTACCAATTCAACTCAATCTAATAAAAATATCATATGCTCATTTTCTATCATGTGTTGCATAGATATTGTAATAAAAGCTGCGCATTGTAACCTTTTATGTCCATGTATTTATGTACTTCAATTTTAGATCATGATATTTGTAGAAGCAAATTTCAGCGAGTGATCCTGGAAGCAAATTGACCAAAGTCTTTGAAGATTTCCACGGGGTATCTGGAGTTTAATGGAGGACTTCCCGTCGAATTTACAGCCCCCTGTAAAGCTATTTTTACAAGCTCGTGAAACCGTTTTCCCAGCAAAAAATTAGCTTTACAGCCTGTAAATCTAGCTTTACAAGGCCTGTAAAACCCACGGGAAGTCCTCCAATAAACTTGACATCCAAACTTATAAGCTGCTCAAGCCACCCAAAATGGAGATCATTCTTGAGTTAATTACTTTGATCTTACGGCCACAAATCTGTGACTGGTTGACAACCTCAGTTGAAATGTGTCAAGTTATTTCCTCACAATTTTTACCATACTATCACAATTATTTAAATGATCAAAGCGAGGATTCAGTGAGGAAAAGGGTATACACATCCATGTAAAGAAAGTTTTCTAATATTGCTTGCTTGTAGAAAGGCTCTAAAATGAACTTAGGCCCTGCTGCCTTGGGCTTATGTCAAGGTGTTTACATAGAATTGTGGTCACCGGCGCTAAATTAGACTTACACGCACCGAGAGCCTGAGACCAGGAACCCTGGCTCAGCACAACGGCCAGATGAGATGGACCGGCTTCGTGATCGCGACACCCGACGCGCGTGCGGAGACCCCTGAAACGTTGAATCTGTTTGGAAGACTAGGTGGGACCTCATGCTAACGAAGTGTAAAAAAAAGAAATCACCACCCTCTTCGAGTTTCTTTAGCTTTCCCGGCCCCGGTAATAGCACGCGTCGCACCAGCATCATCGTACCAAAGTTAATAATCCAACGCTTACTTCATCTCTTTTTTGATCAATTTACTGGCGTGGTCTCAATACGGCTGTGATGCTGAGAGTAAACTTATGACATCAAACTTCGCATGTTTTACCGCATACTCGTTGTCCCTAAGCGCTATCGCCAGGGCCTTGGGGTCTACGAATATAGCATTTGACAGATGGAGGGAGGCTTCGAACCATCACAATAAAAAGAGCATACCAATTGCAGATGCCACCACTTTATGATAACTTGAGACATTTTCGCCGGCCATGCTCTCTGTTTTCTAGTGTTGGAAATCCACCACACTCATTTCTCTCAAAAGGCTGAGTTGCAAACTAGGAGATCCCATTTCTCCGCCCCCCCCCCTCCTATCTTCCCAACAGCTCCAAATCGCAATCCCAAACTCAACCTTATTTTGATAGTTTAATTAATTTCCAAGGATCTAATTGGGTCCATCCTTTTTTTTCTCCTTAGAAAATATGGTTGGCTCAAGTTCATTCCTCTGGTTCAACCTTAGCTTAGCCTATATATTGTTGCTTTGCTCGAACATTTGCTCGGTCCGGTTCAATCATCCCGAGCTTTATTTGTCTTCACATGACTTCCAAATATCTGCTACTCCCCAGACCCGGAAATACAACTTTCGAGTCACGTGAGTCAATTCGGTGTGGATCTATATGAGCTACTCTTGGCCTTCACGGCGAACTACTTAAATGCTTTTCTTTGTTCGATTACCTTAACTTGATTTTCAAAGAAATACTGTCGGTGCACCAGATGGGTTCAGCAAGTGAGTCCTCATGTTTGCACGCGGCACACCTTCTATTGCTTTGTCGTCTTTCTGATTACTTGGGTTTTGTAAGAACTATGTTGGTCATCAATGATCAGTTCCCAGGTCCATTGATCGAGTGCAATGAGGTGAATATCTTGCGCAAGTGTACCTTGCTGATTTGCGCTGCAGCCAAACCTTTAAAGAAAGAAAAAAACTGAAATAATCCTTCAATCCAGGGCGATACTTTGCAAATTGTCGTCCAGAATGACTTGGATGTCGACGTCTCAATTCATTGGCACGGGATCTGGCAAACTGGAACACCCTGGGTGAGCGTTAGAGACTCATGCAAACATTTTCTTTTTTTTTATAGTTGAAAACGAAATCCAACAACAAAATTCTGACAAACACTTTTTTTCTGACAAATCAGATGGATGGAGTCACTGGTTAGATATTTCATCGCTATTCCCGTTTCTCGTCTCAGTTCTCCACTAATTATTCACTCGACCTTTGTCCATTCAGGCGTCACGCAATGTCCCTTACCGGCTAAGAGCTCCTTTACCTACAAATTTACTGTTCGGAATCAGTTTGGAACATTTTGTTGAGTACTTCCTCTTCAAAAGAAATAGAGATAGGAGATCATGTAAGACTGCTTCTAATTTTACATTGCGCGTTTCCAAATAGGGTATCATGTGAGTATTACCTCAGACTTCCTTTTTTTCAAGACCGACAACTTACTCAGACAGAGAACCCATCCAACTGCCAGGCACATGCTCGTAACTTGGCGATAGACGGTGTAGCCGGTCCTTTGGTTGTTCACAGTCCACGGGATCCTTTGGTTCGTGGGAAGAATTACGACAATGATATTATACTCTTCATTTCGTGCGTTGCCAATCATTTTGCTCGGTTCTGCGTCTAGAGAGCTAATGTGTTGTTATTTTCAACTTGCAGAGATTGGTATCATAAGTCAGTCAAGTGACGACCGTCTTTATCCACGGCAGTATTCTGATCGAGACCCTACTCAAATTTTCTGGATGGAATATACAGTACTAGTACGGTTATTCTCGATGGCACCTTGTCAGCCTCGGGATACTTCGGTACTCAAGCTGCACCGTCTGTCAGTTTTCTAGTGTCTTCTTGGCCAAGTCATCAATACGTGACATGATCTAACTTCTTTCGGATCGTGATTGTTTTTGCGAACCAAATCATCTTTCAAATAGGCCAACAGCGCATTGATAAATGGAGTCGGAATCTTCAACTGCTCTTTTGCAACTCGAGGATCAAGATGCCAAACACCTACCAAGCCCCTCGAAATAACTTTGCCCCCAAACCAAAAAACTCGTTTTCGGCTGATTCAAGCAGGAAGTCACGCCATGTTCTGGTTCGTAAAGATCGCGACTCGATCCAAATAAAATGGAATAAAGAGTTTGTTTTCCACTGACAAGCTATGCACGCTTTGTCGTGCTTCATCAGGTTTTCCGCAGACCAGCACCCTCTCACAGTCGTCGAAGCTGACTCCATAGGGGTTGTCGGTCCCAGCAATTTGCACCGTCTGCAATTCCATAACGGACAAAGGTGAGTAGAAAATCAATTATATCTGCCAGAAAAGATTGTTAACATCACTCATTTTCTGCGAGCAGATACAGCGTAATTATCGATACGCAGGCGGACAAGGTGGGCAGTTCGTTTTACTTGCGAGCTGCAATGGACACAGATTGTTGTAAGCATTGCCTTCATTAATTCGATGGGCAGTAGAACGTTGATTAATAAGTGTTCATGCAAATTTCTTAGGGGCCTGGCGTGAGTTCAGTCGAGTCTGCAGACTTATACCTACAAAGAATGAGGCTAATTGCGATGTGTGTGCACAGTCGCCCCGGGGATACCTGGTCCAGATGCGACCGCGCTCGCAATTGTCCGAGTAGCTGCAAAGAGTTCACAAAATTTAAGTCAACAGCCTCCAAGAACTCAAGATTGGGGCGACACGGTCGGTGGAAAGTGCATAGATTTGAACATTGATACATTGAAGCCGATTATCCGTCAAAATGCTTGCACAAACGTCGTGGACACCGTAAGCACTTCGAAAGATTCCTTAGATGTGCTCGTCCTCTTTGAATAATTATGCCTTCGTCATGCAGTTGTACTTCAATACCAGTCTGGGAACAATCATTCGTCCAAACCCTCGAAATCGAACCAAAGTGGATACTTTGAGCAGGTTTTTCGTGAATAATGCCACCTGGACAAGTAAGAAAGATCTTGTTGTTCAGTGCACATTTCTCCTTGACATGTTGGCGATTGAACTCTTCCTATCTTCCTTTTCAAGCGTTCCGATATCGACCACTGCTTCAAGACTTGGCGCAAGGTGGTAAAGGGTATTTAAACGGTACTGAAGTCACAGCTCTCACTCTCAATAAACCTGGATGTTACAATATCGTGTTGAATAACTTGGATGCTGGTATCGATCATCCCCTACATCTTCGTAAGCTCACTAAGCTGTTATAATCATATCTGTATCATGGCGGCTGATAAAATCGATTTTTCTTTGGGATTAGACGGAGTGGATTCCCGTAGGCAATTTTATAAAGCTTTTTTCCTTAGCTTCATGAATACAGATCTCTGATGGAGAAAGTGAATTTGTCACAAAGATCTTGTCGCGCAAGGTTCCGGAAACATAGGTCCCCAAAACTTAGCTCAAGCCTCTATCAAGATCGACAATCCTCTACAGAGAGATGTAAGCAGTACTAGTTTTAATTCGCACTGGTTTATTTATTGAATTACTCCGCGATTTCATTTCATCTGCACAGACCTTCGTTGTCGGTGGCGGCAGCTATCTAATCTGTCAGTTTTAGAACTCATCCTCTGTCATAAGTCCTTACATTTCCTTTGAAAAGAAGTTGACAACATTGCTTCACATAAACAGTGCGAGTTGAAGCAAACAACCCTGGCGTTTGGATTTTGCATTGCCACATCGGATGGCATTTAGCCGCTGGATTTGCGGGGGTGGTTGTCATGCAACCATCGGCGATTTCCAAATTCAAAATCCCCGCCGCCAACCAAGCTCTTTGTTCTGGAAAGACAAATAGCAACATCAACACTACCGAGCCTGGTCGTTTGAACTCAAGACTATAAAATTGTTCTCAATCAGAATTCTGCGCCTTGTAACTTGGAAAGTGGATCACTATTTATCTATAAATTGGGTATTTATAGTTTCGGTTCGAGTCTAGATGATTTGCAATTCCATCCTTCACCCAAATATTGCCATGCTTTTAAGGACTACCAACATAAAATTTAGCTTGTTCTCTGCGTGAATTATATGTAGTAGATTAGCATGGTAAAATTTTTACAACAATTCAAACTCATTGTGGACAAAACTTCTTAGGCACCGTTTTACAAAGATTTATTCAGGCCAGTCAACCTGCATGGATTCCTTAAGTGCGAATCTGGTGAATAAAGGTTAGCGCTGTGGATGGTAATCCTGCTTGGTGAGCAGTTAAATCTTCCTTGGATTGATGGTATGTATGTATCAGCTTACCTGGGATGATTGAGTGGCCTTCTTTCTCAACAAGAACCTTCCTGAGTAAAAGATTTGGAAACTAAGATTAATAATTTCTTCTCAGTAAACTGCAATAACAAAAGCATGGTGCAATAGACTTGTCTTACCTTAGACGTAATAGCAAGGGTGTTGGCAACACAATTTATAAGAACAAGAAAGAGAACAAACAATTGGCTAGTAAAAGCTCTTGAGAAGAAAAAGAGAATGGAAGGGGAGAACAAGTGGCAGAACAAGGTCTTTGCACTGCTTATCAATGAGTTAAAGAGAAAAAGGGTAGACAGTATTTGTGAGAAGACAAGAAATTATAAGGATGATGATAGGAAGGTTGATAGATGGGGTGAAGCTAATTTCAGCAAACAAAAAATAAGGATGAAAGTGAGTACAGATCAAGAATGTTCCTCTGGGAGATTAACCTTGTCTCTTTATAGCAGACGGTAGAGCAGAAGAAGCAACAGGTCTTACAATAACGCGGCTGCGTCAATGCTTCTTGGCCTCAAGGGTCCAAGGTATCCATTGCAACCTGGCCCGGTTCAGAACTGTTGCTAGCCTCCTTGCCTGGTTCATCACCTGTAAAAGGTGATACAGGAGGGTAAATAAATAGATTAGTGACTGGTCTGGCAATAGGAAAATGCCAAGAGACCATCATTGTACTTACCAGATGAGTGGTCTATGATAAGCCTTATAGACCCTGTGGAGGGTATCAACAATCTTCCTTTTGCTAGTTTCCAACAACCTCAGATAGTTAGTCTCAATACTATAAGGTTCATTCAGAAGTGAGTCACATTAGAGACCACTCCTGACATTTGGGGGCCTCATCGGGAAATATTCTACACCCGATACCTTGTTTTGTTTTCTTTTTTTTTCCTTCTATCTAAGATTGAGCTCTGGTCGGTTGACATTGCTTTATACTGTTCCAGGATTGTTGATCTGACAGACGAAGAGTAACGCCGTTATCTTCCTACCACATTCTCAAGATATTGTTTCCTTTGAACTATCAAATAATCTTCTTCTTCTTCAAACGAATACGACTAGTGAGTTACCACACTTGATTGGATCTATTCCAAATTCTATTGACTAAAATCGTTAGACTAGCACTGATCAGCGGTATTTGTTGCTATCTCATCAGTGTCATCTAGACAAGCATCCTTAAGGGACTTCTTCCAATCAGACCGTCCGACTACGATAGTCCTTTCTTCTAGATCCGAACCAGGAGAAAGAACTAACCAACCTACAGATCCCAACCAGGTTACTCAGACCAGAGAAAACAGTTTTGAAGCATCAAGTTCGACTTCCGGAAATCACAGTAGCCAAGAGACTCTTTTCCGGAATCTCTTTCAACCAAGAGGGCATACCGCTCCCCCTAGAGTAGACACCGACAGAATAGAAACGATACAGTCTCCTCTACTGTCTACGACCATAGATCCTAATCTCAGCCATAGCCCTAGAAGTCTTATTGATCCTGATTTAGATTCTAGAGCTACGTCAGTAATCATAGAACAATACTTGACCAGGAATACAGGATTGACTGAAGCTATCAATACAAACAGAAGCGCAGTACCTGAAGAAGTTCATATACCGACCAATAACGAAGACGGATCTTCCGATATTATTATTCTTACTGGTTAGTGAATAAGTAAATCCTTAGAATGCCGTACCCTACGAGTAAATCTAACCCTACCTCACGGGCCTCCTCCACTAGAGCCTCAAACCCAACCCTCGTCCCAGCTGGGGAGTTCAAACGCGGAAAGAGCAAGACTCCTACGCCGAAACTGGCCAGCGGAGATAACCCTCCTGTTCGAGATGCACAAAGCGGCCAAGAATCATTATCTCCACGCCGCGGCAGCGAGCAATCTGGTAGCGATGGAAACCCTTCGAAGGCAAGCCTTAGCGTCCCACCGAAGCCTGGAAGAGTTGATAGGCTACTCTCCTATTTTTGATGGACGGTTGGAATCCGTTCTTAGTCAACCCCACGAGACCAGTTCGACCCCAACAACCGAACCGACAGCAACCGTACCTCAGAGCAGCAGCAGCTCAACCAGCGAGAGGTTTGAACGAGCAAGGTCCAGCCCAGAGGAATCAGGGCAATCGTCCTCGGAGACAAGGAAGGATGGGGGGACGACCAAATCATCGCCGAGAAGTTTACTCAGAAATGATCCGAATGTACAGGACCCTCCAAGGGACTTATCAACATCTGGACGAAGCCTCCAGAATCAACCAAGGAAGGAACTAAGCCCCCTTACTCTTAGAGATGCGAAGAAAGTCTTTTCACTCCTCTTTAATCAGATAGAACACATTGTTGATGGCAATGGTGTTATCATCCTTGATACTCTGAGATCTTTTATCACAGATCAACTAGCTACATTTTCAGTCTCTTGTCGTCGCGATATAACTACTCCTCTCTCTAATTCTATCCAGCAAACAGTGGATAAGACGGACAATCATTTCAAATCAGTTAAATTTTCTATTACCAACATTGCTAATACTTGTAATTCTCTGTCGCTACAATCTCAATCAAGTCATAGCCTACTCTCTGAACTTCTGCAAACCGTCCGTTCAATGCAAACCGTGAATGTTGACAAGAATACAGGGATTAGTTGCGACTGTGAGTTTAACAAACTCACGATTAAAGAAGATATAGTGGAATGTTGCACATTGTTGACTAGCGAGGTCACGACTAGACTCGAGTCGTACAAGAAGGAACTATCTGCTATAGTAGACGTGAAAGATAAGAAATTAGTACAGGTTGTACAGGAATTGAGCGCTAGAATTGAATCCTTGAGCAAAGGAATTAAAGCCATCACTCCTGATAGTATGGAGAAAACTGGTGACAGTGTACACATTAAGAAGAATGAGAATCCTAGAATACAGAATGGTAATAGGGAGACACCAACATTACCTGACAGAGATCCTAGTCACAATGATGTGATGTTATTTGGGATCTCTCATGAAATAAAACAACTTGCCGAAGCAGTGAGATCCAAGAACGAGTCATGTGTTACCAAGAGCTCGGTAGAACAGATGATAAGGGACTTGAGCGAAGAGCACCACAGAGACTTCTCTTCTCTCAGTACCAAATTAGATCAGCTCTTGAGTCAGTTCAGAGACGACGGTGCAGAAGTCAGAGCCAGTATTGGTGAAATAAATGATAGAATGGATACCTCTCCTGTGCGATCCAGCGGACAGGCAGCTCAGCCCGGTTCCAATTTCCGAAGAAGGAACGACCAATACAGCATCCAGCCTACCAGTAGTAATAACTTCAGAAACACTCAGCCCACAAACTTACAGAGTGTAGGGATAAGTGAGATGCAAAAACAACTTTGGGCCGCAGTCAATAAATTAGATTGGCCGAAGTTTTCAGGTCAAGGTGAATATGACCACACAGAGTTTATTGACTGGATTGATGACTGCAGAGACGAGACATCCATTCCCGACGAATACATTCAAGTTAAGTTACTCTCTATCCTGACAGGCGTAGCGAGTCAGTGGTACAAAAGTATGAGGAAAGATCATAAAGATGAGAAGTGGGATTTCTGGAGAGAAGAAATCCGCAAACAATATGGCACCTCGAATTGGATGCGCAAGAAACAAGAGTCCTTCGAGAAAGACAGATTTGAAACAAGAGTCCTTCGAGAAAGACAGATTTATACCTGGAGAAACACCAGTATCGTCCTGGGTCACTAGGCAGTACAGGAGGCTTCGAGCTTTTGAACCTCAATTATCACAACAATCCATTAACTTCCGTTTGCTCGGATTGATGGATAGAGAGGTGGAATATGCTACCAAGAACGCCATGCAATCAACCACAGCAGATATGAGTACCCTGATTAATGTCCTTGAAGATATAGTTGATAAAACGAGGCTTGGTTGTAAGAGATTCCCGCCAAAATCCATTGAAAAAACCACCTCAAAGTTTATAGAAGGGCGAGAAAAGGCGCCGGTGACAAGTGACATCAAATGCTATTCTTGCCAAAAAACAGGTCATACGTCTCGCAACTGTCCCTCTAAGGTCAATAACGTAGGTGAAACCCGCGAAGATTTTTCGAGCGAGAGCGAAGTAGACGAGGACAATGACCTGGTTATAGGATCTAATAGTCAAATGGCAGTTCTCGCTCCCACAGGGCGCAATAATCTTGTAAGGATGACTTGTTCCAACCAGAACTGCACAGTCCTTTTAGATAGTGGCGCTGTGAAATCAGTTGTAGGAGCGTCATACTTGTCGCAATTTTGTGCGGACTGGCCCAAATTTGTCCTCGCAACCAAACCCGGCCGTTTCCACAGTTGTAGTGGATCACTTAAACCATTAGGCATAGTTAAAGTACAACTTGTTTTTCACTCTCACAGGCTCACGATCCAGTTTGTAGTCATGGAAAACATGGCGGTTCCTTACTTTATAATTGGGAATGACTACCTGTCACATTACAAGATTTCTCTTCTGAACGACGAAGGTCGTTTCTTTTCAATAAATAGTGAGAAATTTTAGTTTGACTCTGCCATTAATTTGGTTTTATCCGAGAACGGAGAACCCAAAGAATTTGAAGAAGAAGTTCTTCGTGACGCGAAGATTGGTTCAGACCTGGACCTGTCTAAAAGGCAACAACTTATGAGTACTCTACGAAATCATCGTAAAGCCTTTGCAACTGTAGACGAACCATTCGGAGCTATCAGGGGCCACGAAGTTAAAGTTACACTGACAATTGACAGGCCTTATCCTCCCATTCTCCGTAAAGCTCCTTATCCAGCGAGCCCTAGAAGCAAGGCTGCTTTAGAAGAACACGTTGATTCGCTTACTCAAATGGGTATCATCCGGAAAGTAGGGGCTGACGAGAATGTAGATATTACTACACCCGTCATCATTGCTTGGCATAACGGTAAATCTAGGTTAGTTGGAGATTTTAGAGCACTTAATAGTTATACGACCCCTGACAGATACCCCATGCCCAAAATCATGGAATCATTAACCAGGTTGCATAAGTCTAAATTTATTACCTGCATGGATGTCCTGAAAGGCTTCCACCAGAATGTCGTTCACCCAGATAGCAGAAAATTTCTTAGGATTATATGTCATCTAGGTGTTTTTGAATATGTGCGCATGCCTTTTGGTATTAAGAATGCCCCATCACATTTTCAGCGAATGATGGATACAGAGTTCAGAGAGGAGTTGAGCCAATTGTGGCTCATTATTTATATAGATGATATAATTATTTTTAGTGAGTGTTGGGAGGAACATCTTCAACGATTAAGCTGCGTTCTGAGAAAGATTACATTGATGAATATGAAAATTTCCTTGACTAAATGCTTGTTTGGCTTCTCAGAACTGAAGGCTCTGGGGCATGTGGTTAATGGACTATCATTAGGCATTGATCAACACCGAGTAGCGGCTGTCCTTTTGAAACCTATACCTTCTACAGTTAAAGAGCTCCAATCATTCTTAGGTTTTGCGGGCTATTACAGACTACACATTAAGGACTTCAACCTCATTGCAGGAAGTCTTTACAAATTATGTAGTCCAGCAGTGGGGTTTGAAATGACGAAGGAAAGAGTTCAGGCGTATGAAGAACTTAAGCTCGCGTTGACTTCGGCACCGCTGTTGTTTCATCCGGACCCATCTAAACCCTTCAAACTGTATGTTGACGCTGTAAGACTCAAAAGTGGTTGTGAAACCCTTTTGCTGAATTGAGAAGGGGATGATGGAGGTGCAAACTCTGCCCTTCTATACTATCAGAAACAAGACCCCCAAGCTTAGCTTGGAAAGTTTTAATAACGTGATAGGATTGGTCGGTTCCGGTAAAACTTTGTTTGGTGAAATGTAAAGGTTGAATATATAATTGCTTATAAAAGAAACTGTTATGTTGTATAACAGGTGAAAGGTTTATATAATTGTTTTTAACTGGTGAGTTATATATTTATTGACTGCTGAGTGATGAACTGAGTGAATGAACTGGAATGAGCAGACAACAAATGGGGGGAAGAGAGCCTCCTTTTATAGACAAATGTGAGGGAATTTAGCTCCAGGGCAGACAAGAAAGAGTGATTTTAGCTGGCCTGTAGGTACAAATGAGTGAATTTAGCTAGTCTGATCATGCAAGTGAGGGAAATTAACCAGTGAGGCTGTGTACAATTAATGTCAAAGGCTGTGCTGCAGTGCGTAAATAATGTGAGAAAGTGTCAAATGAGGCAATAAATTGTGGGAAAAATCCAGCTGTTGTCATAAATGAGGTGAGAAAATTAATAAGCTGTGGGAAAAGTAATTCAATCAAGACTGCGCAGCCTGCAAAGGCAGTGCATGAGGTGACAAATAAAGCCAAACTAATTTATGCGGTGGAGATAAAGAGGTGTGGGAAATTATGTGTATACCGTGAGCTGTGTATAAGCATAACTGAGAGGTGATTTGAGGGTTGTGACATGTGCTTGACTGGGTATTGGCTTTGTGATATGTGTCCATAGGGGTGTAACTTCCAATCCGTGAGGGTTCCAATGATGCGTCCAGTGGTGGCCTAAGCTGAAATTGTCCGTAGGGTCCATTTTTTGAATTTTTACATATTAAATTACCACAATGCGTGTATGGAAGGCATTGGAGCAGCTCTCCATCAAATCCAAATAATAGGAGATATACCTCGAGAAGGTCCTATTTGCTTTATCTCACGTCAGCTCAAAGAATCCGAGAAGAAATACGGTGCCTCTCAACTAGAATGCCTTTGTTTAGTTTGGGCACTTGAGAAACTCTATTACTACCTCGACGGCTGCGAGTTTGAAGTCATTACGGATTGTATAGCGTTGAAATCTCTCCTCAACATGAAGACTCCAAGCCGTCATATGTTACGTTGGCAGATTTCCATCCAAGAATGGTGTGGAGCCATGACAATTACTCATCGGGAGGGTATCATTCACAAGAATGCGGATGGATTGTCTAGGTGGGCTCTTCCTAACAACGAATCGAATCCGGCTTCAGATCAAGAAGATACCAAAAGAGAAGTACCTATTATGGCCATATCAGTCAGTGGATTGGCCAGAGAATTCTGGGACGCGGTGGAAGCGAGTTACAGTACGAATAAGAATTCGTTAAGCCTTCTAGAGCTCCTTAAATCCAAGACACAGAGACAAGACATTATGTCCCAATTGGATGAACCATGGAAATCTCATTTTCAAGCGGGAAGGTTTATTCTTCTGGATGGGTTATTATACCACCGTTCCGAAAATCATTGCGCATTGGTTTTGATAGCCGTAGATCACATTAACACTATGTTGCACGAATGTCATGACGCCATCAACGCGGCCCATTTCTCTAAAGAGAGGACCATTGACAGAGTGAGGATTCTGGCCTGGTGGCCAGGTTGGCGAGCGGATGTAGAGAATTACTGTAATTCTTGTGATAGGTGCCAAAAAGCTAACAAAGCGACTGGCAAACGTTTTGGACTACTCCAGAGAATTGAAGAGCCGAAAAACAGGTGGGAGGTGATCAACATGGATTTTGTGACAGCTCTGCCTACCGCGGGAAAGGATAATTTTGATGCAGTACTGGTGATAGTTGATCGTTTCTCCAGGAGAACGAGATTTCTTCCTTGTCACAAAGAAAGCACAGCTATGGATATAGCTTTGTTATTTTGGAACGGTATCGTAAGTGATGTGGGATGCCCACAAGTTATTATCAGTGACCGAGATCCGAAATTCACTTCTGAATTCTGGAAGAATCTGTTCAATATACTTGGCACCAAGTTGGCCTTTTCAACAGCATACCACCCGCAGACTGACGGTTTAGCCGAACGAATGATACAGACACTTGAGGACATGATTCGTAGGTATTGCGCGTACGGTATGCGTTTCAAAGACGCTGAGGGATACACTCATGATTGGGTTTCTCTGTTACCAGCGTTAGAATACGCATACAATTCAAGTAAACATTCTGTTACAGGACTTTGTCCTTTTGAACTGGAACGAGGTTGGATACCTAAAATGCCAAAAGATATGTTACTTAGCAATACAGTTCAAATACACCCATCAGCGTCTAGATTTCAAGAGATGATGATAAAAGCAGAACAAAAGGCCAGCAAGTGTATAGCGGAAGCCGTAGAATACAACAAAGATCGATGGGACAAACATCATAAAAGTAGCGAGCTGAAAGTAGGGGACCTTGTGTTAATTTCGACGTTGAACTTTACCAACCTAGGAGGTTCCAGAAAGCTGAAAGATGCATTTGTAGGACCTTTTGTGATAAAAACCTTTCATGGTCCTAATGCAGTAGAAGTTTTTCTTACCGAAGGTTTTGATCAAAAACATCCCACTTTTCCTATCAGCCTAATCAAGAAGTACAATAGCTCCCAGTCGGGAGAAGACAACCCTGTTGTACCAAATATACCGCCTTTTGCAGAGAGACAGAAGATGTCGGAGTACCACTGAAAATCATAGACGAGAAGCTCACCAGGATGAACGGGAAAGACTGTAGATTATACCTAGTAAGATTTAAAAATCAAACAGCTGATAACAATAAATGGTTACCTAAAGAAAACATTCAGCAAGTAGATCTGCTATTACGCAGATTTAGAGCAAAAAGAAGGTCGGGTGACAGCTCCGGCATCAGAGCCATTCTTTTGGTGGGGGCGAGTGTCAGCCTCGAGCACATCGAGAAGTAATCTCAATGTGCCATTAGGCTACCTAACTTAAGATAAAAACTCGAGCGATAGAGA